GTAGGAACACACCTGGTTCCAGCTGCGGCTGGCATGGCTAAAGGCGGACTCGCCATGCTTAGAGTGAACCCTCGGTATTTCTAGCTGATGTGATCCTAATGATCTGAGGGGTTTGTTGGGTTTATATTCAGTGAGCATATCTGCAATATATTGAGGTCCTAACCCATTAAATGATTTATATACCAGTAATGATACTTTAAAATCAATCCTAAATGTAACTGGCAGGCAGTGTAAGGACTGGTGTGATGTGTTCATATTTTCTGGTCCTGCTCAGAATCCTGGCAGCAGCGTTCTGTATGAGCTGCAACTGTCTTATGGTCTTTTTAGGAAGGCCAGTGAGGAGGCCATTACAGTAATCCACCCTGCTGGTGATGAAAGCATGAACAAGTTTATCTAAGTCTTGATTGGAAACAAAGCATCTAATTCTTGAAATATTTTTCAGGTGATAGTATGCTGATTTAGTTATTGCTTTGACATGACTATTGAAACTACAGTAAGGTCTGACTCTAGAGACACGCCATTCCTGACTTGATTTTTAGTTGTTTGACCTCTAGACTAAAGGAATGCATTCACATTGAGAACTTCATCTTTGTTTCCAAACGCAATGACTTCAGTTTTGTCTTTGTTCAACTGAAGAAAGTTTTGGCACATCCAACTTTTTACTTCATCAATGAACAGGGAGTCAATGGGGCTGTAGTCGTTAGGCGATGGGGCTAAGTAAAGCTGTGTGTCGTTTGCATAGCTGTGATAAGCGATTTGGTTCTTTCTCATTATTTGGCTCATTGGGAGCATATACAGGTTGAATAGGAGTAACGGCAAGAATTGTGACTTGAGGGACTCTATGTCATGGATGTCCACTCAGACTAATGGCCGCCTATACTTACATAATAACCTCTCCCTACCAGGTATGACCTGACCCATTTTAGGACTATCCCAGAAAGCCCCACCCAGTTTTCCAGCCTGTCAAGAAGTATGTTGTGATCGACAATGTCAAATGCAGCACTGAGGTCGAGTAGTAGCCTACCAGTATTGATAATTTGCCTGTATCAGTATTTAAGAGAATATCGTTTATTATCTTTATGAGAGCTGTCTCTGTGCTGTGATGCGATCGGAAACCAGATTGAAAATTGTCGAAGTATCCATTTGAGCTTAAGAATTTGTTCAGCTGATAGTCTTGGTATTTAAACAATGGCCAATTGACACTAAGGGGCCTAAGGTGTGCCAAGAAAACATCCCCCACACCATTACACCACCAACACCAGCCTGCACAGTGGTAACAAGGCATGATGGATCCATGTTCTGTTTACGCCAAATTCTAACTCTACCATCTGAATGTCTGAACAAAAAATCAAGACTCATCAGACCAGGCAACATTTTTCCAGTCTTCCATTTTTGTGAGCTCTTGAAAATTGTAGCCTCTTTTTCCTATTTGTAGTGGAGATGAGTGGTACCCGGTGGGGTCTTCTGTTGTTGTATTCCATCCGCCTCAAGATTGTGCGTGTTGTGGCTTCACAAATGCTTTGCTGCATACCTCAGTTGCAATGAGTGGTTATTTCAGTCAAAGTTGCTCTTCTATCAGCTTGAATCAGTCGGCCCATTCTCCTCCGACCTCTAGCATCAACAAGGCATTTTCTCCCACAGGACTGCTGCATACTGGATGTTTTTCCCTTTTCACACCATTTTTTTGTAAACCCTAGAAATGGTTGTGCGTGAAAATCCTAGTAACTGAGCAGATTGTGAAATACTCAGACTGGCCCGTCTGGCACCAACAACCATGCCATGCTCAAAATTGCTTCAATCACCTTTCTTTCCCTTTCTGACATTCAGTTTGGAGTTCAGGAGATTGTCTTGACCATGACCACACCCCTAAATGCATTGAAGCAACTGACATTTGATTGGTTGATTAGATAATTGCATTAATGAGAAATTGAACAGATGTTTAATAACTCTTTACTACATAAGTATTACTAATTATAAGCATTCATGTTGGTAGCTGTAATTTAGAGCTGCACGATAAAATGACATTGATTCGGCTAGGTCTATTAAATCTTTGACAAAATTACAGCAGGATATTCAAATCAGTTGTCACGTATGAGACAACACAGTCTTAACCTCTCAGTTTGTGTTACAGTAATTCAAATCACCACAGACGTCCAGATAAAAGTTAGGATATAATAGTAAGTGCTGATGTCTGGTAGCGATACAAATAGAGTAAATCAGCATTTGAATGTAACTTGATGTTTTAAATAAATATTTTATCAATTACATCTTTACACCAATAAGTGGCGACAAGTGACTGTTTAAAATGTATTTGTCGTTGCATCATTCATTCATAAGTGTTGATTCACGTTTTATTAGTGAGTCATTGAATCATCCATTTAAACATAATAACATGTATATTTGTTATACATTTTATCAGAACCTCTAAATGACATGCTATTTTGTTTTGCCTATTTAGAATAGTTGGAGAATCATGATTTCTATATTTTAAGCAAAAAACAAAAAAAAAAAAAGACAAAATTATCCAGAATCATCCAACTCAACTAATGTAAATATTTTAAATAAAGATACTAGAGACCAGTTGCGAAAGACAACAAAAATAGTTACAGTTTTGCTCCAGCAGTTTTATCGAAATAAATTTGACAGTGTAGCATAGCAAGACAACCATGCATCCTGGTACTGAACTGAAAGCTCGTGCATGGACTACATCATTATGAGTATCTAACCAAAGAAAAAGAAAAAGAGAGACGAGAGCGATATGAAAGACCACATCAGAGTGTAACCTGAAAGTTTTATTATTTCATAAAGGAGACAACCTCAGGGGAAACAGTTTCTCTAATTGAAGCTGCAGCGTTCTTATAGTACTTTAAGTAATTCAGAGATGCAGCCTTTATGTTTTTACATCCAGTCACCAGCTACTAAAGGCAGCAGATGTTTTCCAGGCTTTTAAAGGGGAATCCCTTCGGGCCACACTCACATTGAAAATGGATATCTTTTGATTGTGGATCATCAGAACTAAAATGACAACCAGTGTTGTTCTAAATAAAGCAAAAATTATTATAAAACATACTGCCTTTGTTAACTGAAATTTGGTAAAAATGTAAGAAGTTTAAATGAGATACAATTAGGCTAAAACTAAAAATGACTAATGAATGAAAACTATATTAATAAGCAAAAATGGCAAATGAAAATAAAATAAAGCTAATTCAACATATTAATAAAAACTATATAAATAATGCTAATATTTCACTGATGACACACACTCTATAGACATTTCAATTCTAAACCTCATCAATACAAATGTTGCTAGATCACATTCATCTTTTTTTAGCCCCACTCAGTGGATATTTCACTTTGAAAGTGTCATGAAACTTGCAAGAAGCAATGAAACATCATTTTTTAGAAGCCACAGGTACACCACTGGTACGGAATGTAATCTCTACTGAAACTTGAGCATTTATGGATGATGAAGTCACAGGTACTGCAGTGCTCTAGCAATGTCTCCTGAGGGAAAAGATACGGGTAGGGAATGACAGCAAACCAACTGAGCTGCTGACAGCAGGACCCTGGAGAACATGTTCTTTGTAATACAGTGAAACAGAATTTTGGACAGAAGAAAGAAGTTAGAAAGGTTATATAATGCTAATATGACACTGAAGACACACTTTCATGACAACTAATTTTTTTACGAATTGATAAATAATGATTTCATATAAATGCATGTCATTCATACATTTTCAGTTGAAATGTCAAGAGACTTTACATAAAGAAAAAACAGGAAAACAAATCACATAATTCAACATTAATGGCTTATCGTTCTCATATGTAAAAAAGAAAGAAAAGAAAGAACATAAAACCAAGTCGACATGTTTAACAAAAAATGGAAGTCTCATTTCATGTTTGAGAATCACACCATTCAGTCTAATGAGCAAATGTGAGCAGTCTGAAGTCAGGTGATTAGTGTATGAGTGACAGGACCGACCTTTAACTAGCGATAAAGACTCACTGAGACCAGAGTCAACAGGGGTTTCCACTCACAATGCTCACCGCTGAGAACTGTGGGTCACAGCAGTCTAACATACTAATTAAAAGGCTCCTTAAAGCAATACCTCATTATTCTTATTAATACCGTAATTAATCCTGCAATAACGTAGATAAGCATAATTTAATTCAGGGTCAATGCTGATTATTTGAATTATTCATACATTTTAGTACAGTCCTCCACTCATGCAAACAAAATCCAAACTGTTAACCATTATTCTAGGACACACCTGGTCATAATGGCCTGTTGATCTTTTCCATTGCCATCTAACTAAGCACTGTGTGTGAATTGACTCCTGATTAACAACATTTTTAGCAACTATACAGCCACTAAAGCGACTAAAGATGAATTGTTCTATGCGCTGGTTGCTATGGAACCTTGTCTCCACAGAGAAGAGCCCTTGACATCGTTGAAAGCACTCTACTACATAAACAAGTGCTTTGGCACTGTGTGTGATGCTGGACTTCAAGCTGTGGATATACCGGCTCCTGGTGTGTGACTCTATCGGATGATGTTCAACAGAATGAAATTTTCTCCATTTAATTATTTTTTATTCATTTATTCATATATTTTATTTTGAATGCGTCTGTGCTCCTGTGAACATTTTTACTGAGAAAACTGTTATATTGTCAATTATGGAAAGTGTTGTGACATAATAAAAGAACTCATTTAGCTTAATTATTCAACTTGTGGTGTAATAAGCTCATTAGCCACTTAGACACTGTACAACAGGCTCTTTGGAAACACAAGCCTCTATCTCTATTTTAGCAAAACTCTAAAAACGTAGGCTACACATCAGCCCATTCTAATCCCAAGGCGTCATATACTGACACTTTTGACAATGCAACGCATATGGCAACCTTTAGCGTCAATATGTGTGGGCAAGAAGGCGCCTCCTAGTGGTCTAACCCTAACCCTACCCCAGACCTAAACCTACCCATAACCAAAGTGTGTTATATTGACGCTAAAGGGTGCCATGTGCGTCAGATTTAGATGCATTGTCAAAAGCGTCAGTATATGATGCCCTAGGATAAGAATGCGTTGTATATATACAATTCACTTCAGTTTCCATATGAAATTAACATTAAGAATTTTTATTACAGGGGCAGAGATTACTGAATAATAAAGACTTATTTTTGTGTGGCCCCTTGCACAATAACACAATGACCTCAAACCACTTTTATAATATGCATGGATTGTGAACTAATAAACAGTATTTAACTGTTCCCATTGCCATACCTCAGCTCATCTTGGTAGCTCATCTGGTACAGATTTGGGACACAAATAGAGCTATAAAGAAGCAAGCTTAAATGGCGTACTTGCTTCAGCAGAAGCATTTTTATGCTTTTGTTAATACTGTCAGTCTAGGTTTAGGGTATGGGTTCAGGTGCTACATTATTTTTAAACACAACACAGCATTAACGTTTTAGTGCCACTCACTAGACATTTCAATTCTAACCCTCATCGACACATACAAATGTTGCTATAGATTCACGTTCATCTTTTTTTAGCCCCACTCAGTGAATATCTCACTTTGAAAGTGTCATGAAACTTGCAAGAAGCAATGAAATAGCATTTTGTAGAATCCACAGGTACACCACTGGTATGAAATGTAATCTCTACTGAAGCTTTTTTATTTATGGATTTATGGATGATGCATTTATGGATGATGAAGTCACGGGTACTGCAGTGCTCTAGCAATGTGTCCTGAGAGAAAAGATACGGGTAAGGAATGACAGCAAACCAGCTGAGCTGCTGACAGCAGAACCCTGGAGAAAATGTTCTTTGTACTACAGTGAAACAGAATTTTGGACAGAAGAAAGAAGTTAGGTAGAAAGCTAGCAACTGGGAGCGAAAGAATCTGAGAGAAACACATGGAGTGCTTTTCTTTAACAGACAACTTCATATAGCTTCCTCTTTCAAAGACCTCAAGTGTTGGCTTCTATTCTTTGAGTGTCTTGATGTCATAAAAAGGTCACCTTCTTCCAAGGCTTCAGAATCGCATTGTGTTCCTGCTGCCACTGCCAAAAGTGTGTCTTTTACATTATAGAGCAGGTGAATCCACAGCACTCTTTCAGTAAAGTGAGGCCGGTCTTGGTTGCGAAGGGAGTAGTGTTCTGCTGGACTCTGGGTCTCCTCCCAACATCTACATAGAAGAGGTGCATAAACAGTTAGGATATTTCCCCTTCCACCCCAAGGTTATAAAAATGCAAAATATGATAGGTTTGCTGTAATTAGGATATTCATTTTCACCAATCAAACATTTGAGAGCGGTATGATTTTATTTTGTTTTTGAAAGAAGTATCTTATGCTCACCAAGGGTGCATTTATTTGATTAAAAAAATTACAATTTAAAATGACTATTTTCTATTTCAATACATTTTAAAGTGTTACTCATTGTAATAATTATAATATGCAATATATTATGTTTGGTGCTCAAGAATTTCTTATTATTGTCAATGTTGAAAACAGTTGTGCAGCTTAATATTTTTGTGTAAACTATGACATTATTTTTTTTCAGGGTTCTTAGATTAATAGAAAGTTCAAAATAACAGTATTATATAAAGAAAATAAATACGCTATAAATGTATTTACCATCACTTTGGTAAATTTAATACACCCTTGCTAAATAATAGTATTCATTTATTTTAAGAAAACTTTGTGAACAATATTGTTTGCAAATCAGATTTTTTCATAATGCTTTTCATGTAACTTTGATTTTCTTTGTCCAATGCAACATTGACACTGTCCCAGTTTGCCCACAGTGTTTAATTAAACTCGGACGTTGCATTATTGGTGAACTGGGAAATCCACTTATGTCATTTTATTGAGGGAATGGTACTTGACTGTCATACGTGTACAATTTCTAATCATATAATTCATGCGTGTTAAAAAAAATGCTTTTCAGATTTATTAGTTAGCTCTACTTGTATGTTGACCCATTTACTATAAAAATCAAGCACATATTTCAGAATCCACAATAAACAGTAAAGGAAGAACAGGCCAATGAAGGCGTTAAATCAGCGGAATCTAAAATTGCTTTATTGCTAATAAGTTTTATTGTTGTGTTATTATTATTATTATGCATTTTATTAATTACATTTAAAAACAAATGTTGACAGTTTGCCAGAAAGGGCTGGAAAATTGTGATTTGAGGTCTTTATGTTTAACGATAATATTTTGGATTTTAATAATATTTTATACTGGAATATTTAAAACAAACATTGACAAACGATTAGAAAATCATTTAAATTAACATTAACTTTAGACATTAAAATAAACATTACTTTGTTCAACCAACTATAAAAGAATGACTTACTCTTGGTTTGAGAGCTTTTTGGTAATTTGGACTTAAGAAACTCAGCCATCTCTTTGTCCTCCTCCCGTTCCCTGTGTAGCAGAGGTAACTGTGATGATTATGGTGCAAAGCATTATGTGAAGATTGACTATTTCATTCATTTTTGCATGGTTGTCATGTTCTTCAGTTAGTTCAAGGTTTGATATTACTGCTTTGAAATGTAATCTAAAAATATAACGTGCATTCATTTATCATCCATTTATGTTTTTATATATATATATATATATATATATACTGTATATATTCATAGTATTCTGTCGGTTTTAAAAAAGACTTCTACTCAGTTGCAATTTGTTCCATAACTTCTATTTCAGCTTTTCAGAATTGGCTGGTAATGGACCTACAAAGAGCCGGCAACAAGATGGTCACTGCATCTTTAACACCAGCTGGTCTAAAAATACACTCAGTGCTGTTCAGTCTATCCTCATTTGATACTCCTTAAAGGCTTAGTTCACCCAAAAATGAAAATTAAGTCATTAATTACTCACCCCCATGCTGTTCCAACCCCGTAAGACCTTCGTTCATCTTCGGAACACAAATAAAGATATTTTTGATTGAATCTGAGAGCTGGATCAGTCCTACATAGAATGCCTAAGGGACTGGCTCTTGACAGCCTATAAAGTCATTAAAGAAAAGGTTTAAATATTCCATGTGCCTACAGCGGCTCAATTATAAGTTTATCAAGCGACGAGACTACTTTTTGTGTGAAAAAAACATAAATAACGACTTTATTCGACTATTCCATTACTTCCTTATGGGCGCATGCGCGAGAACTGAGACGAGGACGTTCTCCTTCGTCTACTTCTTGTTACCGGCTGCTCACCGCTTAGGAGTATTACTGCCACCTACCGTATAAAATGATGATCCATATATAAGGCGCTCCGGATTATAAGGAACACTGTCGTTTTTTTTAGAAGATTAAAGGCTTTTAAGTGCACCTTATAGTGCGGAAAATACGCTAATTTAAAAGCGTATGTACAGCGCGCATCTTCCTCTGCTTGTAAACAGAAAGTTTTGCGCTTCCAGCTATATCAGCACATCATCTTATACGGTAGGGGGCGGTAAAACTCCTAAGCGGTGAGCAGCCGGTAACAAGAAGTGGTCGAATGAGAACGTCCTCGTCTCAGTTCTCGCACATGCGCCCATAAGGAAGTAATGGAATAGTCGAATAAAGTCGTTATTTGTTTTTTTCGCACAAAAAGTAGTCTCGTCGCTTGATAAACTTGTAATTGAGCCGCTGTAGGCACATGGAATATTTAAACCTTTTCTTTAATGACTTTATGGGCCGTCAAGAGCCAGTCCCTTAGGCATTCTATGTAGGACTGATCCAGCTCTCAGATTCAATCAAAAATATCTTCATTTGTGTTCCGAAGATGAACGAAGGTCTTACGGGGTTGGAACAGCATGGGGGTGAGTAATTAATGACTTAATTTTCATTTTTGGGTGAACTAACCCTTTAACATGGTGCTGCAATAAAGTAATTGTTCTTTAGCACCCATAACAATCATTTACTAAAATTGGAAGAATAGATGCAAATAATACATTAAATATTGGAAACAATTTTTGGGAGGAGCTGCCTTTAAATTATGTCACTATGCACCATAATTATAGACAGCCCTAGGAAAAAGTTTATTCAAGTGTGATATGTGTATACTTATTATAATTAAAAATAAGAAAGTGCACTTTCAGTCCACTTTTTATGTACTTACACTGCACTAAATTGCACTAACGCTTACTTGACTTATACTGACATAAAAGTCTAATATAGCATAGGCTATACAAGATATATACTTACAAATATAATTAAGTCCAAGTCTAATATATGGGATATGCTTAACAATATATACTATATATACTTAATTCTAAGTATTCTAAGTGTACTTGGCTCGTGTTTACTCCTTTGATTGATTAGCCTATTACATACTTTTTTCCACATAGTTTTACAGAGGCTACTGTCTTATAAAATTCCATTCTTTGAAAATATTGAATTCTAAAGGAAAAAGATATGTTCCTAATTCTAAATATTGATTTTTTTTTGTGTGTGTGTAGGCTAGTCCACTGGTAGAGTCATTTACTTCAAATCTATACTTTACTCTTTCCCTGTCATTGGCTGAATTTTCCAGCTATCCATGTTTTCACTGTTATACGGTAGGGGGCGCTATTACGCATCTTCTGAAATAGTGCAGAATCTCTGGATCAAAGCACAGGAAAGAAGAAGCAGAAACGTTTCTGTTACGTACGGTAACCTTCGTTCCCTGAGTAGGGAACGGAGATGTCTCGTCAGAGGAGTTTTCAACGAACTGGGATCACGCTAGGGAGACGAATTGCCTTTCGAGTGAATTAAAATGAGCCAATGAACATTTGCATGCAGAATTTGCATTCCGCGTCCCGCCTACCAGCGCGGAGCCCCCAGCCCGCCTGAAGGGAGGCACTGGAATACACGTATGTACTAGCCCGTAGGGTAGTGAAACATACGGCAGTCCTTGAGGTAATCCCAGCCCGAAGGGTGGGAGCGTACTCAGAAAGAACGACAGAAGGGTTCTGTCGAGGGGAAGAAGCGGTGCTAACCAAGAGGGTAGCTGGAACATGGAAGAAATGGGTCGCCATAGGGACCACTGTTAAGGTCACCCAGTCTACTAACAACTCCTACGAGAGGTTATAGACCTGGCGCCTGGTGATCCGCATTGCCTTGAGCCGGTGGGAGGGACGGAGGATGATGGAGTGATGGAGGAACTCACGAGATTGGGGAACCAACGGAGCAAAAAAGCACACTTATCCGGCTCATAGGGCGGGAATGGCGCAGCAAGCCGACATGACCTATTTCCTTGCACTACTGGCCGTAACGAGTACACGGGAGGAAACAGGTTCAACTCGTAAGCTATAAAACCTAGCAAATGTGTTTGGTGTCGCCCAGCCAGCAGCTCTACAGATGTCTGCCAACGAGGCACCTTGCGCCAGAGCCCCGGAGGAGGCGACACTCCTAGTAGTGTGCCATCAACCTAGGTGGGCAAGGCACGTCCTGGGACTCATAAGCCTGGATGATAGCATCCACTAGCCAGTGGTCTAACCTCTGCTTGGAGACAGCCTTCTCCTTCTGCTGGCCTCCGTAACAGACAAAGAGCTGCTCTGAGTTCCTAAAGCTTTGCGATCTGTCCACATGACAACGTAGAGCACGTACGGGACAGAGAAAAGCTAGAGCTGGGTCTGCCTCCTCCGGTGGCAGTCCTTGCAGGTTCACTACCTGATCTACAAACGGAGTGGTAGGAACCTTGATCACATATCCGAACCGGGATCTCAGAACAACATGAGAAAGGCCCGGTCCGAACTCCAGGCACGATTCATCGACCGAAAATGCTTGCAGATCCCCTACCCTCTTGAAAGAGGCCAAAGCCAACAGGAGAGCTGTCTTCTCGGACAGGATATTCAACTCCAAAGTATTTAAGGGCTCAAAAGGGGGCCTCTGAAGAGCTATAGGGCCCTATTTTAACGATCTGAAATGCAAGTGTCAAAGCGCATGGCGCAAGTAACTTTGTGGGCGGGTCCCAGCGCTGTTGCTATTTTCCCGGCGGGATAAATGACTCTTGCACCTGGCGCAAATCTAAAAGGGTTTGGTCTGAAGTAGCTTCATTATTCATAGGTGTGGTTTGGGCGTAACGTGAAATAAACCAATCAGAGCGCCATCCAACATACCCTTTAAGAGCAGGTGTGCATGTTGGATGACGGATTGTTATTATAACGGCGAGTTTACCAGGCGCACGCCAGGAGCATTCACAGCCGATGAGACCGATGTTCTTGTCAGGGCAGTGAAAGACAGAGAGGTGACGTTGTATGGGGAGGGGAGAAACCCTCGCACATCAGCGTCAGTTAAACATTATAAACATATGTTTCTTGCCCCTATTGGGCAAACAGGTCTGATCCTTCAGTACCACAATTAGCCTTAAAAAATGGGTAATTAGGTTTTTTCATCTTCATGTAAACTACAATGATTTCCCTCATGTGTTAATATTTTTCCTTGTTATAATGTATGATTTGCAAAAATAAAAACTACTGCATCTGTGTTGATGAGAGAATTAAAGTGTATGCTCGTTGTGCACCCGCTACATTATGGGGAAGGATGCTTGCTTAAAATAGCATTATGAACAATGCGCAACGCGCCACTGACTTTGGACCAGTTTTTTTTCTGGTCAGGGGTGCAATTGTTTTCTGGAACTTTAAAATAGCACCAGGGAATGTTTGCGCCGAAACACGCCTCCTTTTTGAGCCGATCTGCCCAGGGAGCGCAAGTTCATTTCCTAGTTTACCCACGTGCGTCTGTGGAGGGAAAAATCCCGCTTTGCGTGCGTGCAAAATAGGAATGAGACATGTGTTTGTGTATGAAGTCATTTGTGCCGGGTGCATGATAGAGCCCATAAAGTACTAGATCCAAACTCCGATCTGGCCTCCTTTTTGAGCTGATCTGCCCAGGGAGCGCAAGTTCATTTCCTAGTTTACCCACGTGCGTCTGTGGAGGGAAAAATCCCGCTTTGCGCGCGTTCAAAATAGGAATGAGACATGTGTTTGTGTATAAAGTCATTTGTGCCGGGTGCATGATAGAGCCCATAAAGTACTAGATCCAAATCCCAACAGGGTAAAGGGTGTGGATTACAAGGCGGATTAACCTCCTAGCACCCTTGAGGAGTCTGATGATCAGGTTGTGCTTTCCTAACGACTTCCCGTCAACTGTATTGTGATGAGCGGCTATTGCGGCAACATACACCTTGAGGGTGGAGGAAGACAGCCTTCACTCCAACCCATCTTGCAGGAAGGAAAGCACAACTCCGATCTGGCAAGTTCAGGGGTCTTCCTGGCGGGAAGAGCACCAAACGACGAATAGGTTCCACTTCAACGGGTAGAGGCGTCTCGAAGAGGGGGCTTTAGTGGAAGTGATGGTGTCTACCACAGCCTGTGGAAGGCCACCTAGAACCTCTGCGTCCCCCAGAGGGACCCGGACGCAGGTGCCATAGAGTGCCCCGTCTCCAAGAAAGCAGGTCCTTTCTCAGAGGAATAGGCCAGGGAGGTGCACACCCGGAATGTGAATGGCCCAAAGCAACCTCAGATACTTCAGACTCCATAGGAGGAGATGACTTAGAGATCCTCTAAGTAAGGGCTTTCGAACCCAAACCTCATCTCGGCTGGAGGGCCCAGCTCGATCGCACCCTTCACTAGCAGGGAGACGATCTCTTTCCTTAAGACAGGGGCTTCGCCACTACTTACCTGGGTAAAGAGGATGACCCTGTACCTGCGAGGACGGCGGGCAAACTGAATTGCATAGCCGAACCGGGTGGTACGGATGAGCCAGCGGGACAGTCTCGGAAGTGCTAGCCAGGTTTCGAGAGACCGCACCAACGAGCCCACTCAGACCACTGGCGTTCCCGCGGAGGGGCAGGGACTGGACTCCGGAGGCATTGCTGCAGCCGAGAGAGAGGTCTGAGTGTGCGGTGCAACACTTACCTGCTTCCACCGGGGGGCAAGCAGCAAGCCAATTTTTCTCTGGGGCATTCCACTGCTGACTGACCCGTGGCGAAGAAAGGAGGGGAAATGAGGAGCGAGGCTCGGGGGCGTCGAGTCCTGGATTCCGCATCTCCTTGCCCAGCGACAGATGAGAGTGGTGAGGCCGTGGCGCCGTTACTTTCATCTGAGCGCTGTGGAGAGGGGAATGAGAGTGGCGAGGCAACATGGCGGCACACACTGTCATTCTGGCCCTCTTGGACGGAGGAGACTGGGAGCGGCGAGGCAATTGAGCGTCAACCTGGAGTGCCAGTCTTGACTGTGAGTGACCCAGACGAAGTGGAAACCACTCTTCTAGTGGGTACCACCGACCAGGGGGCCAGCGGCGGAACATAAACACAAGGAAAAGAAGATTCTCCACCCGGCTCTCCTCCGGGGGAAGGATGGATGCAGAGGCACCCTCCCGAGAAGCAGTCACCACGTCCCCCGGGTCGCCCGTCTCAGGGTCGCTTACCTCTCCTCTTGCTGGGGGCTTAGATGAACTCCGAGCGGGCTGTGCGCTTCTCCTGCGGTCGACATCCTGCTGCTTAGATAGCTGCTGCTTGGGCTGGGCAGGGGTGGCGGCAGGAGGGCTCCCTCGGTGACGAGCAGCCGGCGGGGACGGGGAAGCCACAGCCCATCTCTGGGGCATGATGTACTTGATCACCCCCGACTTCTTCTGAGCGGCGGAGAACTGTTGGGTGTAGCTTTCCAACGTCTCGCCACCCTGGGATATGGGGGAGTTCAGGAACATATTCTTGTCCGACTCCCCTACATCTGCGATGGTGTACTATGTGTTTTGGATTCACACAGACTTGTAGTGGAGAAGAGGTGGTCCGCTATCAGCAAAGCCACCCCACCACTAAGGGTAGTGAGAGAGGAAAAAACGTTTTTCAGATTTTGGCATGTTTGGCTTTCCACAGCACCAACTTGCTTCCATACTGCTAAAAGCTTTTTTACACACATCAGGGCAGGCACGGGGGCGGGGCAAAGCGCCCCCAGAGTAGCCCGGGAAGTGTGGCTGTCAAGTCTGAATCTGATTCAGCAAGAGTACACACACACAATTACAGTGGGAACTCAGCGTCATAATTTCCAGATTGTAACAGCCCTCTGTCCGATGCAGCGATCGACATCTGATCCTCCCCTGGAGGCCTAAGTGAAATAGCTGGTCCCTCATGAGAAGGACCAGAAATTCCACCCGAAAGGTGTCAGGCATGCAAAACAGTGAACGTGGCCATAACCTAATGGCACACGGGACGCTGAGCGCTCAACCCTTCATAAGAAAGGCAAAACAAACAACGTGCCGACAAGGACATGCTCTCATAAGAGAGCATAAACCACCCACGAACACAGTCTCAGGTTGTTTGCAATGTGCAAGAGGAGCGAGGGTTCCGAGGAGGTGGTCTCGTCGAAGAACGCTCACTGTAATGCTCAGATCACCAATGCTATTAAGCAAAATAGCCATCTACTGCTGGCTACCAGAAGAGGAACTAGATCGGAAAACAGGCAAATTATGTGGGTTGGGTTGCCATGACAACATGCGCTGTCAGCCGGCAGCTCGACGCCACATGGCATGCTGAGCGGCTCAAGCCCTTACAAGAAAGGGGAGATGAACAATGTGCCGACGTGGTCAAGCTCTCATGAGAGAACATAAACCACCCACGAACGCAGTCTCATCATGCCTAAGCCCAGGCACGTGAAACAGTTTGTTTTACCAACTTGTTTTACCAGCAGCCATATCACCCTGTAGCCCAAGACTGGTTGCCCACTGAAGCTAAGCAGGGCTGAGCCTGGTTAGTACCTGGATGGGAGACCTTCTGAGAAAGCCAGGTTGCTGCTGGAAGAGGTGTTAGTGAGGCCAGCAGGGGGCGCTCACCCTGTGGTCTGTGTGGGTCCTAATGCCCCAGTATAGTGATGGGGACACTATGCTGTCAAAGAGCACCGTCCTTCGGATGAGACGTTAAACCGAGGTCCTGACTCTCTGTGGTCATAAAAAATCCCAGGATGTCTTTCGAAAGAGTAGGGGTGTAACCCCGGCATCCTGGCCAAATTTGCCCAGTGGGCTCTGTCCATCATGGCCTCCTAATCATCCCCATATACACCAATTGGCTCCATCACTGTCTCCTCTCCACCAGTAAGCTGGTGTGTGGTGAGCGTTCTGGCGCAATATGGCTGCCGTCGCATCATCCAGGTGGATGCTGCACACTGGTGGTGGTTTAGGAGATCCCCCCCCCTCTATGTGAAGCGCTTTGAGTGTCCAGAAAAGCGCTATATAAATGTAACGAATTATTATTATTATTATAACAGTGATCGTGGCCGTCAAATGAGAACAGGAAACGGCCACAGCCAGTAACACACAGGTAAAACGTCATCGTCAAAAGGTTGCAAACTTCACTCGTTTTGCTCTTTCAGAGAAAACACTCTCTTAATTGTGCTGAAGCACACAGGGATCAATACGGCAACACAGCAGGGAATCTGCAAGCCCGCTGTGAGCACTCAACGGAATACCAGCTGTGAAAACAGCTCTTTGAAAAAAGGCAGATTGCATGAATCAGCAGCTGGTGCATTGAGAGATCGCGAGGATCACCGACACAGAGAGGTCTTCGGAGAAACAGAAAACTTGTTGAGCATGAAGTTATTCTCTAATCTTGAAGCTCATCACTCAGAGGACACAACTGGTAGGCTCCGAAGCTAAAAGCAAATGTGTGTGCGCTTGCTTCCGCTTTATACCCGCGCTGGTAGGCGGGACGCAGAATGCAAATTCTGCATGCCAATGTTCATTGGCTTGTTTTAATTCACACAAAGGCAATTGGTCTCCCTAGTGTCCGACGAGACGTAGGAGTTCACATACGAAAGGGAACACGATATAAGATTGCTTACGTAAATGTAAAATAATGCGATCATCAAACCTTAAAAAGCATATAAGTTCAAAACGTTACAGAATGAAATAGGCTATCGAACTCATGAAGAGGGAACGTCCGTGAAGCTTTGGGAGTTTTGATGGACTCGATCTGCTCCATCTGTGTTTTGACCATGATTCTGAATCCCATCCAGACTTAGATTAGATAGATTAAAAAAAAATATTTTTTCAGCTTTTTGTTTAAAATGTTGCTGTTTTTAAATGAAGCTAGAATAAAATGTTAAACTTAAAAAAAGAGTTACTGTACAGTTAAAGGTATATTTCAAGTATAAAAAAACGAATACCTAAATAGAAACAGTAAAATACTTTAAGTGCAAAAGTAACTAAGTATAATGTTACAATATGTTCACTTAAAGAAAACTTACAAGTATACTGGAAGACAATTATAAAACTAATTGTTTACTGAGAGTATAATTTAAATTGTACTTTCATAAACTCTAAAATGAGCTACAAGTATTTGACAGTAAAAGTCTTGTACTTGTAGTATAGTTGCAGTACAAATGAAAAGCAAAGTTGTAAACTAGTTGTGTCCTCAAAGTTTACTACCATTTTTATTACTAAACGATATGCGTTTATTACAAGCATTCTGTCATATTCAGTGTTTTATTTTCCTGTTTTTGGTTCATTTACATGTTTGGTTCGTGTTGTGTTCATTTATCATTCGAACCGCACCAGAGATTGTTTGGAAGTGGACCAAGATTTATCTTTCCAGCGGTCTCGGTCCGCTTGTTTGATGCATACAGATGTTCGGATGGCACTGTTCACACTTATTCAAATGAGCCTCAATAACAGAGAAATCGTACCAGGGTTCGTTTTAATCGAACCAAACATGCAAAGTGTGAACACACCCTAAAAAGTGGTGTCCCAAGTAGTATTGAAACAGTACACTTACAAGTATACTTCTAGTACATTGATATTAGTTTACGTTCTAGATAAAGTATCCTTAACAATATACTAGAACTTTATTAAAGTATAGTTAATAAAATGAACTTGAAGTAGCCTATACTTATTTTTCGTAAGGGAAGGCAGAACATGGACATATAAACAGCGAGTCCAGATTCAATCACAAATGTGTGTAGAGCAGAATTTTCCAGAATTAAATTCCCTTAATCACTGCAGCATGGCTTTATTACAAATAAAAATCCTATTACTTATGTATAGAGTGTGAGTGATATTGTTTTTCCCCTCAGGCCTTCGACAGAATCCTGTCTGCCTCGGAATTGAGCTCAGTCAGAGATTTAATAAAGGGTGCAAATGAATTGTGTGTCAGCCTCCATCTTTTTCCAGCATTGCTGAAATTGGCTCACCTGAGACGCTCAAACTCCACGTCATCTACCAAGAAGTCTCTTGCCTCCACTAATTTATGAATCTGTTTCAGAAACTCTTCCTCCTTCTGTTTGTCTTCATTAGACTTGTCATTATCTGAAAATGGATTTAACAGTTACTTATTAACAGAACAGAAAAATCTAAACAAAATAATCTCTGCAAAATGAGGTTGGGATTTAGTGGTTTAATTAGTAGTGCATGTTTTCTTGTTGTGCTACTTTTAGAAAATGGTAAAGCATTTCAACAAAGAGAGAGATCTCTAATCTCTAACTTTAGTAAAGGTACAGTGAAAGGGACTTTTAAATCGGTAAACTGTAAAACAAAAACATTGATCGCTGATAAAGTTTTACATTTATTTATTTATATTTTTGATGTAATATATGCCAGGCATTTCCAGATCATACCTGGGATAGACAGAAGCTTTTGAAGCTCTTTCTTCAGTCTTGTAATTTCTTTACATAACTGGATATCATCCATCCTGCAAAATAAAAGGACACGCGAACATTGTCACACACTGTAAAAAAATGAAAAATTTAGTTAATACAATGAAGGTGATTGATTTAATCATCAGAAACTTAAAATAGTATGTTATCTGAACTACATAAATTATTTAAGTTGATTTGACAAAAGAAATAATGTTGTGATTACAAATCATGAAATTTTTTTTTTTTTTACAGTGCATGACCTCATCACGTTGAAAGTATAATTCATTGAGTTGTTAGAAAGCCAGATAGCTATTTAAAATGCATTTAGTCCGTAATCCTGTTTGCTCATATCAACATTCTTGCCAATATCACTGTTTGCTATAAATCCGCATTTCAATGCCATTTTAACTAAAATATGCAGGATAATTGTGAAGCTATAGCACAAGATTTCGCTTTATATCTCTCTGGTTTAGTTGAGACAGGCAGTTGAGGCTGAGCACCAATCAAACACTCGTGAAGAAATGCCCCACTGGTTTTGTAATAGGCAATGCTCTTCCCCAAACGATTGTGAAGGGAAACCAATATACATGCATTAGACATTCTGGCAGCATCAAAAGCAAAACATTAGCATTTTAATGAGGGGCAGCTGGCTGATTGTAGCTCTTTTTAATGGGAATAAGAAGGACAGATGACTGTAGATGTGATCTCAGATCAACTTTACAAACCGCTCAAGGCTTGTGAGTTTGGCTGTTGACTATCATTTATAATAAACAATACAGTTTTTTGGTACACATTCTACCTTCAACTACATTCATTAGTAGTTCATTGTCCATGTAGTCATTGTGTTTTATTATATCTGGAGTGTGAAAATGTATACTAATAAAATATAATAATAATAATAATAATAATATACTGTATAGTATATATATATACTGTATATATATATATACTGTATATATATATATATATATATACTGTATATATATATATATATATATATATATAGTTTTATTTTTAGTGTTCTGTTCCTGGTTGCCTGTGTTCCCTTTGCTAGTTTGACTCCATGGTTTTTGATTGAGCTTGTGTTTCTGGTTACGTTAATTATCCCTGTGTGTATTTAAGCCCTTATGGTTGCATTTATGTTGATGTGGTTGTGATATCTTATATTTCGGAGTATTGGCTGGCTATCCCCTTTGCCGTGTGATTTCTATAGCCAGTTAGCCACAAACCCGAACCAAAACTGGATTTATTTTTTAGTTTTTTTCTTCCGCTTCACTATTTATCTGCCGGCCATCCAACTCCTCTGCCTTGAGTAAAAGGACCATTCATTTTTTTTTTTTTTAACCCACCAGCCTCAGCGAGCAGTCCAAGGTACGGTTCGAAGTGAACAGTCATAACAGGAGATCATTGGTGGTGGGGAGATCCCCTACAGTTGCACTACACTACAGTTCTATTTCAGTGTTATCGGTTATATGTGTGTTATGTGCGTCAATGTGGCCAATAAACATTTAACGTGTTACAGTCTAAACAACTGTGACATTTGTTATTTTTTTTAAAAAGTGTTCTTTATTTTTTTGTTTTATCACACTTGCATAGATGGGTCATTTTAGACCCATGTGTGTAAACTTGATGTATTTACACCAAACCTATGAAATATTAAAATATTAATTTGATAATTGAAAACAAGATATTTAGAATATTCACATCATGAAATATTAAATGCTCAGATAAAATAATTTCAAAAGGTGAAAAAAAAAAAAAAAAATGCCGAGCCATGCATGGATAACAGGAAATAAATACGGGTCTTTTTAGACCCATGTTGTGCATTAGAAGGTGTATCTATAGCTTGCGCATCAAAGGGTTGATAAAGAACATTCACATTTAATTTGATATACATTGTCACTTCCAGTTACTTTTAATAATAAAAAATTAAAACAAACAGCTTTGTCATAATTACAGCAGAGCATACCACCATATAGATTGTATGAGGGGTCTTTGATTAATTATAGCCCATGTCAGTTCAAATTCTGCTGACATTAAAGAAAAAAAAAGAAAAAGAAAAAGAAAAAAGAAATTCGGAAGTTCATGTATGCCAACATTAATCAATTAAACGTTTCAATGTTGGCCCTAATAACATAATGTGTAATACAAAAGAAGAAGCATTTTCACTAGTGGTTACAGATAGTTGGGCCCCACAGTATATATTATAGGTATTTACATGTGAAAATCAATTTACTCACATGTATCTGAGCTCAGATTCCCTCCTGACCAAAATGTCTCTGATCCGTTCAATCTTACAGAGTTCCCCCTCAATGTCTCCCACTGTGGTAGTAGAGTCCGCCATTGAGACCACATCTGCCTCTGTAAAAACATAAACAAGAAGATCTGGTCTGAAACCCCTCTCACAACCACAAGGAGATCCACAAGGAATGCAGATCAAATTGCGTTCTATACTAAATATCAGATTTAATGCAATGTATTCTCTCTCAAGATTAGCAGTGCTTGTGGAGAATTTCTGAAAAGTGAGGTACATTTCAAGAAGCACCAATCAATAAACAACCACTGAGCCTCTTTAAATAGCACACGTAAAGGAAGTGCAAGTGTAAAGTAAACCTATATACAATTCATTCAGGTCTATCATTACTACCTACTTCCTTTTCTTTAATAGATTCTTGACCTCTTCACCAACTTCACCATTCTGTATCCCTCCTGCACCAATGAATCAAAGCTTTAGCAGCAGCAGAAAATTGCAGCATGTCGAGGTTACCAACCTCGGCTGTCACACAACAAATTATTACTTGCACGGGTTTAGCAGGCCTAGCATAACTCTTCGCCTGATCCTACAATTGGTTATGTCACTGCTACTTTCTCATGAGTGGCATGGTAACCATTATGCAAGGCTAAGGGTAATACCTTCTGTCAGATTTACATTTACATTTAATCAGATGCTTTCATCCAAGGCAAATTAGAATTGAGGAAACAGAAGCAATTAAACCAACAATAGGGCAACAATATCAAAAGCATCGTAATCTTAAGTAGTTTGTGGAACCATTGGGACCAATGGTCTCTATGATTAACTTAGCTCAAAATGCTTTTGAGAAACGCAGCCCTGGCCAATATACAGTGGTCTGTTACTAGAAAACGAAGATGAAGATGCTCTATATTATTTGAAGAAATGTTAAAATAATAATAACAAATAAATTATATAATATTAATTGTGGGCTCTCGTCAGTGTGTACTTTGTGCTGCTATTCTAAGTTGAAATTTGCCTTGCCGGGTTATTAAAACCTGTTATACTTCATCTTTATCGTTGTGCGTCTGCCTCTTTTCGTTTGTTATGGACATCCCTGCTGTGAAGCTACCTTGAGCAGGGAAAACTCTACCTCGTGGCTCACCGAGAGGATTTCCTCGATCTGGGGTGCGTTTCCCGTACAACGACGTAGTTCACTGCTTCACTACCATAGTACGATGCATCGTTGGAAAAATCAACTAGCTAGTCACGACTGTTTCCCAAAACCCACTGTCGCAAAGTATCGTTCAACCACGTTGGTTTCGCACGTGGTGGAGTAATAACTGCTTTTAATGAAACTATTTGAGATCCAATTAACGCTAGATTTGTTTTATATAAATTACAGACATGTCATCTGAGGACTATTTCTAATTGTTCTCAGTTATTTTGCTTTATTGCCAGACTCAATATTTGGCTCGTTCTTACATAGTGGAGCGCATTCGCACATGCACACTTTTCAAACACGTTACTTCAAATCTCTTGACAAACTAAAAGACGTAAATTCCATTTGTAAGTATTCTAAATAAAAGACACCGGTTGTACTGAATGTCAGCTTGCTCATTATGCTCAAGATAAGGATTTATTACCTCCAAATGTGTTGCAATATAGAAACGATGCTTCTAACCACAGGTCGAGAGCTGTCGTTTAAACCACCCAACTTTGCGATGCTGTTTTCAAATGTTCGTTGGAACGATGGTTTCGGGAAACACCGAATCGTTGAACTATGCTGATAACGACGGAACTTGCGACCATAGTTGGCTAACGATGCTTTCGGGAAATGCACCCCTGGACTACCTAACGACTTTGCCATACGACTGCCTCATCTCGTTTCTGCTCACTGGAATGAGCACATCAATACGAGAGCAGTTGTACGGGAAGGCTCCTGGAGGGAGGCTACTTCGCCGCCTTTGTAGAGAGTGAGTGCTGGTATCCTGTTGATCTGCATCTACTGTGAATGACGTTACCTGCCCCACTCCCAGTCCCAACCCAGTGCCCAGCCCGGGTCCATCGGACTGTGTGGAGCAGCATAAACCCACAGATGTCGAGCCCTTCTCTGCCACAAACTGTGAGCCAACACCTTCAAAAGTGTGAGAGCTGAACATCGCCACGAAGCCTGAGTTGCGCAAGTCTGACCAGGTGCGCGTGCCAGGTTCACCATCTGCTGCCAAGGGAGTGTTTGTGGAATCAGAAGGCAAGGATGAGAGCCACACCTGCCTTCCCACCACTGAGAGTGAGAATCTGGCAGCCGTCTAAATATTGACTGTGAGAAAATAATTCTGTATTACCCCTTACCATCTTGTCTGCAGAATCTTCTTCATCTGTCTCGTCAGTCCTACCCAGCCTCCCTGTCCCACCATCTCTGTAAACCACTATAAAAGATTTGACTGGTCTCATTGGACTATTTACAATTGTCCAGTTTCGTCCTCAGCCACTCCTGCCACACAGTTGTCAATGTCTCTCATCAATCCATTTGTGTCCTCTCCTCTTCTCAGTGGCGTGGTTCCACCTCGGGCCTGCAGGGAGCCATCTCCTTTTGGGCGAGAGGTCACTCCGCCTACAGCCTCAGCGGACTTCGCTCCTCCTCGACCTGTCACCCTGGCTCCTGCGCTCCAGTACTTGCCACCTCCAAACTTTTGACGTCGGCCCACGCTCAGCCTTCCCTCAGGTTCCATATCCACCCTCTGGCCTTCAGAGTTCAGACCCACACTTCCATCTTGGTAGGTCGTCTCTCCATTTTTCTGCTGAAAGAGGCCACAGCCACCAGAGAATACAGTTTCTATAAAAGGGTGCACATGGTCCAAGTAACGTGTCAAAGAACATCTACATGGATGGCAGGACCCAACGCTTCCCAGCAAAACATTGCCCAAAGCATCACACTGCCTCCGCCGGGTTGCATTCTTCCCATTGTGCATCCTGGAGCTATGTGTTCCCCAGGTAACTGACGCAGTCATCCAAGTGATGTAAAAGAAAACATGATTCAGACCAGGCCACCTCCTTTTATTGCTCGGTGGTCCCGTTTTGATACTGTTGGAGCTTTCGGAGGGGGACAGGGGTCACCCTGACTGGTCTGCGGCTATGCAGCCTCATAGGCAACAAACTGCGATGCACTGATTATTCTGACACCTTTCTATCAGAACCAGCATTAACCTCTTGAGCAATTTGAGCTACAGTAGCTTGTCAGTTGGATCGGACCACATGGTCCAGCCTTAGCTCCCCACATGCATCAATGAGGATTGGCCACCCATGTCCCAGTTACCGGTTCACCCCTGTTCCTTCCTTGGATCACTTTTGATAGATACTGACCACTGTAAACTGGAAACACCCCACAAGAGCTGCAGTTTTGGAGACGATGTGACCCAGTCGTCTATAGCCATCACAATTTGGCCCTTCTAAAACTCACCCAAATCCTTACACTTCTAACACATCAACTTTGAAGACAAAATGTTCACTTGCTGCCTAATATATCCCACCCACTAACAGGTGCCGTATTGAAGAGATAATCGGTGTTATTCACTTCACCTGTCAGTGATCATAATGTTATGCCTGAATGGTACTGTTATTCTTGTATTATTTATTTACTATTAGAGTATTTATTAACATTTTAATGTGTTTTGTGTGTTTTAAACAGATTACAGATTAAAAAACCCTTACTGTACTTTCTACAAGCCTGAAGTAAGAACAACATGCATTCAAACATGATGTACTGACTGATATTAATGGTATGAATTTGACCTTTTCCCTTTCTTATTTGGCTCACATGACCGTTTGTATTTCCAAACCACCAAAAGTCATGAAGTACTGAGAAGACACATCTAGATTACAAATTTGAGCATTTCAGAGCATTTCAAAAAGCCAAAAAGCATGACTTCTTCATGCACAAGTTAACAACTCCACTGAAGCATTGAGGCTTCTTATGTCAATTTAGATAATTAAAAAACATTAAGATGCATGTACTCTGAGTGAGAAAGCAATAGAACAGATTTGGCACAGTACAGAAAAAAAAAAAAAAAAGATTTTTTGTTTGTTTTGCGATGTAATAGAAAGCATGTAAAGGAAACAAAGCCTATTTAAATACAATACAATCTGTCACGCTGAGACTTTCAGACTTTTTTTTCATAAATCATGGTCATTCAGTTCTTCAAAAAAGCATAAATTTGACAGTAGCCTATTTTTACGGAAACAATTTACAAATTTACATCATACACATAGCCTTAGACAAGGTAACAAATTAATAGGTTTTTACAGTATCATTTCAGTATTTTTCTGAAATGTAAATAAAAGAAAATACATAAAGTGTAGTTGCTTAGTTTAAATAGAACAGATAGTAATTGTTTACTTCAGTGACTAAATTTGCTTAACCCTGATGATCTCTAAGACTATTTAGCAAAGTTTTATTAGTAAGGTTCATTAGCTATAGCAAAGCTTCTTCTGGGAGTCAGAAGGTTCACTGCCCTGTGCTAAGAACAGAGGGGTAAATGTTAAGAAGCCAATTATGACACTGTAAACTCAACAGCAGCACCGGGAAAGACAGGTTCTTCTTTCCCGAATCCCCTTCATACATCCCTCTTTGTGTGACTGTGACTATCTTTTGTTACTAAATCCACATTAATACGATAATATCAATCGACACAATCTCCAAAGACAATGTGGAACATTTAAGTTATTTTTGGCTAAACTATGAGTTGTTTTCCGATCTCAGCATATAACATCTCTTTTAACCCGTCCCTGAACCCAATCTCTAAATTAGCAGAAGTTCCACATGTGGAATTCAATCGGCAAAAAGTCCAATGGACAAGAAAATGCAAGTGTTCTGAAAGGTTTTGATACAGTGACAGGTGTAGGGATACCTGTTTGGTCCACATCTGTTTTCCATTTCGTGCATTCCAGGGATCCATACTGACAGGATGCTCTGCGCTTTTCATCCATCACGAGTCACTGAAGCCTTTTCTTATACGACTGTATAAAAAAAATCCTGACTTAGTTGAGATATGCAATGCAAGAGAGCACGCTAAAATAATACAGCGGATCCAGCGGTTCTCTTTACTGAGGAAAATAGCGACGGCAGAGGATTAGTTGGACATCGTTACAGATCCTGCACTCCTGTTCCTGACTCGTTGGCGACATCGTGTGGTCATTGGAAAAACAACAACAACAACAACAATAACAACTCAAGACAGGATTCCTTCAAGTTTTGTGCATTAGGCTATCATAATAAACGCTTCTTCTTCTTCTTAGAAATATATAATGTTTGTTTCTATTTTATTTGTGGTAAAAGTTGTATACATCGCAACTGCGAATAAACCTGGATCCAAGCTTATTGCAGGGGTTTGCACTTTTTTCCAGTCATTTGAAAATGCTACATTTATTTTTAACATATGCATCTTCAAATTAAAATCACAATATTTAAAAAAAAACAGATGTCAAATCAACAACCGTGCAAAATGTTGGCATGAATGAATTCCATAAAAATAAAAGATATAGATCTCAATTAGTTTGGGTAATTATATTATAGAGATTATATTTGTTCTTCAAAATAAATGGAAACTGGAAGACAAAAACAAAATACTGTAAATAGAATCACGTGAGGAAGTCAGATCAAAATATTTGCACCATTCATTTTTGATTTTCACTCACGACCAGCTTAATGCACAACACAACCTTTCAAAGATTGAATCCATTTGTGTAACAATAATTTGTGTAACAATTTGTTCTACACATAAGTCACATTGACAGTAAGAAAAATGTATATCCGCTATGCTTTAAAAATCCGCTAATTTAAACGTTTAAAATGTTTTTGATGATGCAAAACATGTAATTCTCATGAAACTCCAAATGTAAACAAATATCATCATCAAATGTCATCATATTTCTATCAAAGAAGTGCAAATCATGGGGGTCGATTAATGTCAGTTTCTCTGAAACATTTGGTCAAGTGGCATACGGTGCAGACTAACTACTGCACAGCATTTCTGCATTATATTATAATAAAACATATTTTTTTTATGGTGGAATGTTCTGATGAAAGACTTGGCAAATCTTGGCATGGAGAATTCTCTCTTTCACATGCACTTCATTTTTACTCAGTAAAGGGTAAATGAAAATTATCACTAATGACTCACCCTCATGTCATTCCAAGCCCGTAAGACCTTCGTTCATCATCGGAACACAAATTAAGATTTTTTAGATTTAGTCCGAGAGTTTTCTGTCCCTCCATTGAAAATGTACGTCCGGTATACTGTCCTTTTCCAGAAAGGAAATAAAGACATCATCAAAGTAGTCCATGTGACATCAGTGGGTTAGTTCGAAAACAACCATCGAAAATACATTTTGGTCCAAAAATAACAAAAACTACGACCTTATTCAGCATTGTATTCTCTTCCGGGTTCTGTTGTCAATCCGCGTTGTTGCGCTGATGAAATGTTATCAGTGTGCCCGAGCTTCGTTTACAGAAGTTAACAGTACAGTTTACAAAACAATCTTCGCAAACATGTCTAAGGATTTCGACACAGAGGAAAAATTGATTTTTTTTGCCATATTTGCCATATTGTCATATTTATTTGAACCCGAATACACGGACGCCAGCAGCGTCTTACGTCATCAGTGTCACTGCGGACTCGTGAACGTGGAAGAGAATACGATGCTGAATAAAGGCGTAGTTTTTGGTATTTTTGGACCAAAATGGATGCTTCAATACATTCTAACTAACCCACTGATGTCACATGGACCACTTTGATGATGTCTGTATTTCCTTTCTGGAAAAGGACAGTATACCGTACATACATTTTCAATGGAGGGACAATAAATCTAAAATATCTTAAACTATGTTCCAAAGATGAAGGTCTTACAGGCTTGGAACGACATGAGGGTGACATGAATTAAATTTTTTGAGTGAACTAACCCTTTAAGGAACAGGTTCATTGTTAATGGAGAGAACAAGGTCAAACAAGTTCAAGTAACTCTTAAGTCTTTGAGAAACTCAATACCATGACTTCATTTAGTGTTAGTAAGTTAGCCGAGTTGCAGATTAAAATACTTCCTGGATTGATCAACTTGTGATTCACAAACTAAAGTACATAATGCAGTAAAACCTGCTTGGTGAAGTGTCTTAGCTGATCATTTGATCACATTCAGACACTACTGAATAATGCATTGTTTAAAACACAATACACATATTGCAAGAGTCCAGAACTGGCCTTTGTGTTTGCAGCAACCTCTCTATCCTGATCTTTGACCATTTAGTCGATTATTCCCGCAAACGTGTTAATGGGCAAAGGCAATCCTTTGCTCATGTATTTGCTCAGTCCAGCTGCGATGTCGTCCTCTGTCATGAACTTTGACTTTAAGGATTTTTGAATATAATATCCAGGGTCTTGACACGGAGAGACCTCAATGCTGTGTTAGGAAATGTAATAAATTACAAACAATATCAAAAACAAATCAATATCAACTTCGGTGTTTGATGCTTCTTGAGCACCAATTCAGCATATTTAAATGATTTCTGAATTATCATGTGGCAGACTAGAGTAATGGAAAATTCAGATATGCCATCACAGGAATAATTCCAAAAAAATACATTTTAATTAAATTGTAATAATACTTCATAATATGACTTGTTTTACTGTTTCAATCAAATAAATGCAGGCTTGTTGTGTAAGAGACTTCTTTAAAAAAAAAAAAATCTTACTGACCCCAAAACTTTAAACAAAAGTATAGGTGATGGATTGATTTCTCACCTCTCAACATTCATAAATTTCCTTCGAAAGTCTTTGTCCAAACGCACTGTGAAAGTTGATTTGTCTGGTGTCTTCAATTTAAAATTGCATGTTCTGATCTTTGTCTCCTTATAACAAAAATAACAGCATAAATGTCCAAACTTAATCAGGTATAATTTGCATTTCTACAGTAAAAAAACACTTCACAGTTGCAGTCCAACAATGTAAAACATCTTAGAGTTACATATGTACATATCTATTATTCATCCTCGCGGAACCTGGGGCACGTTCAAGTTCAAAACGGTGCACAACGTTTTAGTTGAACGTCATGTTTCCTGGAAACGGGGTTTGAGATAAGTTTTCTCTTGTTTGGTGGGTGTGTCAGAACTGCAATCCAATCATCAGCAACATGTATATAAAGCACACGGTATTAAAGTGAACTCGCACAATGGGTTCAAGGAAAATATTTTACAAATGTGTTCAATGCAGATCGTTATATGCAACAACAACAGAGGATATTAGAAGATACAGTATGTTTGTCGTTTGTTGTAAAAATATAGGATATCAACATAATGATGTGGGTTATTAGGCTATATTTTTTAGCTTCATTGCAAGTGTATGACATTTGGTGTAGAAATAAACAATGATAAGTGCTTTTCCTAAAAAATGATAAAGAAAATGGGTTATTAAAACATTATGAAATACAAATAAAGTTAGTGTGTGAGGCTAAACAGAATGTGTTTTAATCTGAATTAGGTAATGTGTGCTTTCAGTTTCCACAAATCCCTTAAAATTGATTGGGATGTTCTCTTGTGTTCTGGGCGGCAATTGCAGTTACTGTAACATCGGGTATATTTTGTAGTATTAAACACATATTTATACCGACTTCATCAGGCTCTGAAAATTTTTCACAAAGAACACAGAGAATGGCCTTATCGGGCTCCATAGTTGCAACTCCTGCGTCATCAGAACGGGGTGTTCAACGCATCACCGTTTCTGTTTAAAAAACGTTGTGCAACGTTTTGTCCGGGCTGAACGCAGCCCTGGTGTCTGAGGCACATAACATCAAGCCAATCATTGGTTGACGCAGTGTGATGGGATCGCAAGGTGAACCTTATAGTATAAGAAGGGTGCCTGACAACACATCAGATTTGTATTTTCTAAAGGAAGACATTGTAATAATTCGCATTGACATCCCCATAGGTTCAGAATCTGATCCAATGTCTTGTTCCTTTCTCAGGGAACCGGGGTTACATACTGTATAGCCCCTTTCACACAGAGATTCCGGAAAATACACGGATAATGTGACCTGGCATTTGTCCCGGGATTGTTTGATTTCGCTTCATTCACACTGCCAGTGATTTGCCGGGATCTGTGAGTGAGTTCACACACAACCCGGAAAGATCTCGGAAAGACACATGACATCAGGACGAGACGTTTAACGCACACGTCGAAAACATGTACACGCGCATACCGTTCCACAAAGCTGGTGAACGATCTCAGCATCAGCGCGGATAGTGAGGAGCTCCTGGTCTCTGCTTCGTTCCAGCTTGCAGACATTTGTTCGTCCTTTCTTTGTTGATGACGAACACAAACTTTCTTCTAAGAGCAACAGAGTCACGCAATGGCACGAGCGTCATCACTATGACACACCCCTTACGGCATTGGTCCTGAGTTCCGGGGCTGATTCCGGCAATGTTACTAGGTCCCCAACCCGGCATTGATGCCGGTATCAATCCCGCGTCGTGTTTGCGTTCACACAGAAGGTGTTCTGGCAATTTCCCGGCAATTTCCCGGGATCAACGCGCTGTGTGAAAGGGGCTTATGTAACACTAAGACATTCCTTTTCGAGGGAACTCAATGCTGTGTCAGATTCTGATGCTATGGGGATGTCAACACCTACAGTACTACACTTTGCTAACCAAGGCCTGCCCTCTTGTAGTTATAACCAATCTATCAACCTAGGTCTAGGTACTAACTCGCAGGCCTCAGCCCTGAGCCAATAATGCGTCAGAGTGCGAGTGTTACACACCTTGATGGTATCTAGTATAGCAATGTAAGAAAAAGCCCTGAAGTTTCTATGACCAAATAATGAGGATCTCAAACTAGTCCAAGCCATGCTCCAGGAGTTTACTAGTCTACTAAATCAACATAGCCTTGGCCTAAGTCCATGACCCACATCTAGACCAACCATAGGCTGGGACAATGAGAAGGAGTATAACCTTCTATCCAGTCCCGGAGAGAGGGTGACAGACAAGAGAGTATAACGACTGTTATTCAGCCATCTCAATCAACTCATCTATCCAGCTCTACTTCTGAAAGTGAGTACCTACATGAACCGACCCAACAAGGGGAGCGATTAAACTACTATGGACTCTTTATCAGGGAGCCGAATAGCAGGCTCATCTGGCTTTAGTAAACCAAACTCAGCTTAGTTTCAGGGTAAGGAATGGGCCTCAGTTTAGACCACCCCAATCCTAACATATTTGAGGGGCCACAAGTGAAAGGTTCAACCAGATGCCATTCCCTTCTCAAGTTTTAGTTTGAAAGCAACCTCCTGCAACTCAAGAAGGGTTGATGGGGTTTGGGGTGTTGGATGTGGAGGTATAAAAGGTGCGCCTTTTCACCACACTCACAGCCCTCAGATCTGTGTGTGGTTTCTTCCTATTCCAGCACCTCTGCTCTCCACTCCTTGGAGAGGAGTCTCAGGCAGCCACACTCGCCTTCTGCTTCTTTCTCCAGGAACTTCTTCCTGGTGAGGAAGCAGATGATTTAAGGGGAGACTTGACCAGACGAGGGATATACTTCCCAAAGGCGTCCGGACTGTGTTCTTGCCTCTCTACACCTGTCCACCACCAGCTCAACTGCAGTGCCAAAAAGTTCAGAGGGCGATTCAGGGGCATCATGGAGGACCGTTTTATCACTCTCCCTGATGCCTGACAAATGAAGTCATAGATGCCTCTCTGTCACCACCACAGCCATCATAGAGCAGCCAATGGATGTCCCCACGAATCTGACACCTCAGCAGGTCTGGGAGATAATGGTTAGTCTAAGCGACCATCTGCAGTCTCGTGTTTCGAGCCAGACCAATCCAGTCTTAGCCAGACTGTGGCATAAGTCATAGGGCCCTATTTTAACGATCTGAAACGCAAGTAGCAAGCACAAAGTCGGGCGGGCGCAAGTTTAAAGGGAGTTGGTCTGAAGTATCTTCATTATTCATTGGTGTGGTTTGGGCGTAACAGAAACAAACCAATAATAGTGTCATATCTAGGGTTGGGAACCGAGAACCGGTTCTTTTCCAGAACCGGTTGTGTTTTTGAAAAAATACCGGAACCGTGCAAAATTCCTAAGTTTCGGTTCCGAAAACGGTTCTGATGCCGATGCGATATCATCATGTGGGCGAAGTGCTGGGAGTAGAAGACGCCGTCTTATTCCTAAATGACAAAAACTTCACCACTGAAGTTGCGATTTGCTCTCACACGCGCTGCATTTGTCACACACAGACACAGGCACGCTGCGCGCGCCGACCGCCGAGTCACTCTCTAGCCTACATTCAAATCTGTTTGCGCTGAGAGAGAGAGAGAGAGCAGTTGTCGATATGAAACTGCTTTACAATCACACAGTCTCAATATTTATTTGTTTCACATATTCAAATGATTTCCGTTACAGAATTAGTGAGATTATAGTTTGAGTATTGACGGTAGTGGTCAAAACAGATGCAGTCCGTATATTTTTTGTGTTCAGAATTTACAAAATATATACAATGAGCGAGTCATTCATACATTCATACAATTCATACAAAACATCATAATGTTTTTTTTTCAAACCGTGTTTTTGTCTTATCTTGAATCACTACGTAAAGCCTGTAATAAGCGTTAATACTCGGACTTCTTGTTTAGACTGGCCGGCGGATCGCAGCTGCTGCAGAGTAGCCCAATGCCTGCGTGACTCATGGACATAAACAGAGAGAAGTAGCTCCGGCAACAATGTTCTTCCGCAAGACGCATGCAGTTCTGTTTATTAACTGCTAGAGCACCGATTTATCCAGTAATGAAATAAGTAAAGTCTTTATGAATCAATCATTCAAACCGTTTTAAAAAATAATCTGTTCTACACACATATGTGTGTTAAAGCATATACTATTCCTTCTGAGAGGGTATTCTTCACTGTTGGAGATACAATAAAGGAGAGGTCTAAATTATTATAGAGAATGCAGAATTTTTTAATTTCCTTTATATATAATTTTTTATTTTTTTTTGCAAAGATTGCTTAATAATATTTTGAGTTTGTTTACATTACCAGTCTGTTAAACTAATTTGTCATGTACTAAGAAATAAACACAAAAAGGATTGTGGATTTTTCTCTTACTAATATTTTTAATTGAATGGGAACCGGAACCGGAACCGGAATCGTTTGGCGGAACCGGAATCGGAACCGGAACCGGAAAATTTCTCACGATTCCCAACCCTAGTCATATCACATTCCCTTTAAGAGCATGATGAACAAGGTGCGCTTGTTCTATGGAGCAATTCTAACGGCACATTTACCAGACGCGCTTCAGCATCGGTTCACAGCCGAGGAGATCAATGTTCTCGTCAGGGCCGTAAAAGAAATTGAAATCACATTGGGGATGGGACAAACCCACCCAAATTAGCTTCGGTTAAAGGATTAGTTCACTTTTGAAAAAAACTTTTGCTGATAATTTACTCACCGCCATGTCATCCAAGATGTCCATGTCTTTCTTTCTTCAGTCGAAAAGAAATTAAGGTTTTTGATGAAAACATTCCAGGATTTTTCTCCATATAATTGACTTCAGTGGGAACCAGATGGTTCAAGTTCCAAAAGAAACTTTAAGTACAAACTGCAAACTTGTTCAAAGGGCGTTAAACGATTCCAGACGATGAATAAGGGTCTTATCAAGCGAAACGATCACTCGTTTTATCAATAAATAACAAAGTTTAAGTTTTATAAGCTCAAATGCTCGCCTTGCTCTGTTCTGTAACGCACTCCTGTTCGAACGTGTTCATCAAAATGAACAAATCTTTTTCCGAGTCATTTGGTTCATTCGGCGAAAGAAACGAACGAATTGATTCGGAAAAAGATTTGTTCAGTTTGTTGAACGAGTTCGAACAGGACAGTCACGAACGAGCACCACAGAACAGAGCAAGGCGAGCGTTTGATCTTATAAAACTTAAACTTTGTTATTTTTTTTTTTTTAAATGAGCGATCGTTTCGCTTGATTTATCGTCTGGAATCGTTTAAAGCCCTTTGAACAAGTCTGCAGTCTGTATTGAAAGTTTCTTTTGGAACTTGAACCGTCTGGTTTCCACTGAAGTCCATTATATGTAGAAAAATCCTGGAACGTTTTCATTAAAAACCTTAATTTCTTTTCGACTGAAGAAAAAAAGACATGGACATCTTGGATGACATGGGGGTGAGTAAATTATCAGCAAAAGTGTACTAAAAGTGAACTAATCCTTTAAACATGCATATAATAATTTGGGTAAATGTGTAAGCTTTATGCCTATTTTTCCCATCGTCATGGACATAACAATGATTTACCTCATGTTTATTTATTTTTCCTTATAATAATGTATCATTTGCAAAAAGTAAAATGCATCTGTGTAGATGAGAGAATCATCTACAGTGTATGCACGTTGTTCACACTCTGTATTATGGCCAAGCATGCGCGCTTAAAATAGCATCTTAAAGTACGCCCAACGCGCCTTTGACTTTAGACTAGTTTTTTTCTGGTCATTTTTGCAATTGTTTTCTGGAACTGCAAAGTAGCACGAGGGGTTGTTTGCGCCGAAACCCGCCTCCTTTTTACGCCGACCTGCCCAGGGAGAGCAAGTTCATTCCCCAGTTTTGTAAAATGACAGGTGTCATTTATTATAGTAAGTTTGTTTTTAAATATTTATATCATGTAGTATCTTGGGACAGTGCAATATTCTTTCTTTTAGCGTGGAGCAATCTTAAATGTAATCTTAAAGTAACAATTGTACGGGTGGGGGGTTGCTTAACATGGGATTAAGATGCTCTTCATTGACGTCGAATGTATTTTTTAAGTCTTGATTTCTTAAAGTCCATTGTGTGTAGTGTGTGCTGTGTAGCTTGTTAGCTGTTTTAATGTTTATCTTTTATGTTTGATTCAACGAGCTCTGCTACAAAAATTCCTATGTACCTGTATAGCTGTGGTACAAATGGCAAATAAAAGCTTTAACTTTAACTAACATTACCGGCATTTGTCTGTCGAGGGAAAAGCCTGCTTTGCGCGGGTGCAAAATAGGAATGATAAATGCGTCAGTGTATAAAGTCATTTGCGCCGGGTGCAAGATAGTGCCCATAAGCTCAAATAGCTCATCATATTCATTGCTTTGCAGCGTGAAGCAGGAAACAGATCTTTTAGATATATCCATCTCAACAGACAACACATCTATTTTGTCAAAATCAGAGGTGAGTAATGAATGAGTCCTCGTTCACCGCAGTAGAAGCTGACAACCAGCACAATATTTTCCATTCCATTCTCTCAAAAATGTTTTTAAATACACAGTTTTCTCAGTTTGTGCAGTTTCTAAGGCTTGGCCAGACTTACTGTGTTACTCTTTGGCTTTGTGTCATTGAAAGTGACTGTGAGACAGTTGAGATCTAAAAACGGAAAGAAAAAAAATAGTCACTTATTTAAATTTGTTCAGGTTCAGTTTATCTAAATTCATTAACAAAAACAAATACCTTTTCATTCAAAAATATTCTTACCTTCAGTTTTGCTTTCTGGTATTGCTGAAATCTGAGCGCCAGTGGTTCTGAGTGAGAACCCCTTTTCAACCTCCCTGTTACTTAGAGACACCTAAAAGGAATGTGAAGGGTCATATGAGGTCAACTAACATTTGCTGGTGATTTAATTTTTAACTCTAGAATAAAAACTAGAATGCATCTTTAAAACTATAAAATGTGACTCACTGGAAAACCGAAGGTCCAGGACAGTCACATTGTGTGTGACTACATGAAAGCACTGTTTAAATACTTCGATAATCATATAAGCATAGACAGCATAAGTCACACTCACTTTTAAGTAGCTAAAGGAGATCAGAGCCCCACACAGCTCAGCAGGCATCTTCTTCTGCTTGGCAGTGTCTGAGGGAAGAATGTGGACTCTAAATATTGGACGAATACACCACTGGCTTATGTGTGCCAATGACTATACTGAGTTTTGTTGCTGAATATAGATAAAAAATTAAAAACACAAGTCTCTCACACACCTCTTTGTGCTGCTTGGGCTATTTTGAAGTCTGGGAAATCCACTTCCAGGTCCGTGACAAAAACTTCTTCTAAAGCTTCTTTTGACTTGTTGGAAAAGTAAATCTGCACAAGTAGAGGGGAAAATAAAAACAAGACTGTTATGTTATAGTTCTGTTACGTTCTATATTCAACACTAGGACAGTTCTGAGCAAACGTGTGGCTCATTATGAAACAATATCGAAAGTTTATGCTTTCTCTTCTCTCATATTGCTTTCACATTCTTTATGCTTATTTTGTATTGTTTATTTACTGCAAACTACTAAATTACACCTGATTCTCATTGCATCATAGCTGAAAAAAGCTGACTACATAAAAGTCATTCATTCTCACCTTGATGTAGTAAATGTTGAAGTACACTGGCTGCTGTCCCATTCGGACATAGTAGGAGATGATGTCAGCTAAGAAAAGGTCAGATTCGTGTGGTTTGCCACTGTTGGCCTGAAAAAAGTCAAAATAAAACATGGCGGAACCAGTTGCATGTAAAGTTATTTGCAGTATAATTTACATAAGTTACATTGACAACATTTATTAGGAGTGATGTTAATGACTCTTGTGAAAAAGAAGTGTGGTAAATTGTAATGTGGAATGTGCACTTGTAATCTTAGTATACTTTACAAACTGTACTTGCAGATAATATATATATTAATGAAATGAAAAGCCACTTCCTTGACAATGTTTATTTACACACTTAAGTAAACTTTTAACAGGCGCACTTTAGTCATATTTCCAAGACTATAAAAGTCGGTTAAAGTTTGTTTCAATGGTCCACTACTTTAGACATTCTACTTCAATGTCTGAAAAAGCACTGTAAAGTTCAGCGTATTGCATTTAATATACATTTAAACTATAATAAATTTTCATTTAATTTAATTTCATTTAAGATGCAATTAAGAACCCGGAAACATTACATTCAGTTTACACTTTCAAGTATTCTTTAAAGTATATATTTTTTTTTTCATAATGAGTAGTGTTTTTTTAGAAGTAATTATGTGTCAAGAGCACTGTAAAATAAATATTTTTGGGATTCAATTATGTCATTTGTTCACAAATGTATTTATATACAAAGCAATAAACAACAACAAAATAAAACAAACGTATACTATACGCTAAAATGCCAATTAAGTGTTCTACACAATGTACAGTCGCTGGCTTTGCATTTATACAAGGAAATGACTGAAAAGAAAAATACCTGAAAGAGAAACTTTCAAACTTCCTCATTCCATTCTGATTGGCATCACTTGCTAAAAATACACATGTTTGTACCCAAGAATGGCTGATATGTTAAATGACTGTTTATCTTTTGACATACCGTTCTCGCAAGATCAGGAATCATCTGTCCAAGACTACAGACATTGCACTCGTACCACGGATCCACCATTCCAAGATAAGAGCCCAGAGTACAGAAGTTACTGCTTGTAGAGGGCACGGTCTCCTAAAACGAAAGTTTTATAAGATCGTGCTAGTTCTGCTAAAATGGAAGGTATTTAAAAAAACTTTTTTTCCTACACTAGAAAAACTAGTCACAGGAGGTATCCATCACAGTACACTTTCCGCACGTGAACCTAAAGAGAAAAGGGGTATAATTAATTGTACCTTCACAGGGGAGGTTGCAGACGACTGTCGAGCAACAGGGATGTAGTACATCTGTAGGTTGACTTTCGCAGTAAGAAACCGTCTCCTGGCTTCCCGTTTCCTGTGAAACAAAGTCAAACAATTGTCATAGACGTGTTTTAGAAAAAGGAAACTTACTGATGACTTCCTCATTACAGAAAATTAAGAGGCTTCTTCAATAAACAGTAATAATAACTGAAGTGATCTGTTTATAAGTACTTTATATTTACTCTATAACAACCATAGAAATCAAATCACCTTTAATCTACAGTATTAGAAGACTACTGTATATCTATTTGTATAACAACAAAGCTTGAATGTTGTAACTGTTTTAAGACAGTCCCCTTCCAATCAAATTGTATCTGTACATTGTATAGTACTGTAAATTGTATAGATCATAGTACTGTCCTGATATCATTATGATTAAAGAGCCTCATTAAAAAAATAAAATGACTGAAGAGAAAACCTTCAGTAGTTTGGCAATATCTTTTATTTTTATTTCTTAGGAGATAATTGAATATTTGAAAAAAATGTGGTGCAACCAACTTTCAGATACAGGCAAAAAAAAATATCCATTAGGAAATTATATTATAGAGAGGACCACACACCACAGTGTTTTTTTGAATGTTTTAAATTAGATATTTTGGTAACACTTTAGAATACTGGTTTGCATTAATGTACAACTACACAGGAACAAATTGGTAATGCACTATTAACATTCTAGTAACTATTATGTACAAACAAGAAACTCTGATCAATGAATTAGTTACTAACAGTGCTTAGTCAAATATGGTGGTTCACTATTAGCTAATCAAAAACTACTTCTTTTGATACTACCCACTGGTATGACTCAAGTGTTACTAAATCGATTAGAAGGAATTACTGTGCAAAACCTTACAAAAACTTCTAAAGCTTATTCTCTAAATAATTAGTAACTCCTTCTGAAGGATTTAGTAATACTTAAGTCATTACAAGTGGGTTTCCATGATCTTCACTTTAGAATTAATTATGAACCTGTATATAGTTCTTATTAGACCTCTGGGAGGTATGAACAAATTGTAGCTTATTGATTAACCAACAGTTGAACCACGTTTAACAAAACACTTTTACTTGCTAATTTGTTAATCAGAGTTTCTTGTTAGTCAATAGAAATTACTAGAGTGTTGAGCTACTCATTTGTTCCTGTGTAGTTATTCATTCATGACGGAACAGTATTCTTAAGTGTTACCAATTTTTTTTTTTATTATTCATCATAGACACTCTCGTATGTCTTTGACCCAAATAACAATAACAAAAATCACAGATGACATATTGTCTCCTACCTAAACCAGTAGTACGCCCTGGCTAGCCTTCCCACTGCCCGGTCATCTCCCATCACCACTATTTTAGCAGTGTAGTCCCGTTCTTCTTTGGGCAAGGTGGTCCCACTGTTTCCCGCTCTCCTCTGCAGTGTGCCACTGCTTCCAGCTGTGCCCGTCTCCTCCAGTGCGTCCTGCATCAAAGCCATGCTGTCAGTGACGGACGGCTTCACCTTGATTCCTCCGCGCCGCGAGAGTCGCCCACTGGTCTGCTCAGACTTTAAGCTTTTTCCTCCAGTAAATTCCGTGTCAGAAGACTCGGGTCCCTGCATGTCACGCTCTATACCGCTGTCCGTTGACATGACAGAGTGCCGTGGCATCTCCGAGTTGAGCTCTGCGTGGAGGTCCGACATGTAGAACTCATCTGGGTTGAGAGAGAGGTTTTCACAGTAGGATCCGGAACGGATGAATTTGGCCAGTTCTCTCCCTGTGACAGACAAAATGAAAGGATATGTTGTGTTTTAGTGAACAGCCTCATCTCAGAAACTCTTGTGGGTTCATGCTAGGATCTATTTTTTATGTGACCTAATCGTGAAAACCCTGTTACCGTAATGGGTAACACTTTATAATAACTACACACTAATAATCATTAGTTAAGCATGAGTAAACCATTAATTCATCATTCATAAAGCATTAATAGACATTAATAAGCAGTTCATAAATACAGCTATAAATGCTTTCTTCTTGATTTAAAAGCATATCGATAATTTGTTTAATAATTGCATTTTCATCCTTTATTAATGATCAATTTATCATTTCTAAATAAAGAATTGCATTTTTTATGAACCAGTTATTTAAGAGTTTTCAGTGGTTCATACGATTACTTAGAGCGACTAAGTAAATGATTAATAAACTATTTAAATGTACATTCATACATCTTATTATTCAGACATGTAGTGATGGTTACTTAGTGTGTTAATAAATGCTTTATTAACATGTATTAATGCTGTAATTAAGGGTTAATTTGGGTAGTTATAAAGCATTTAGTAGTGGTCAGTTGACTATGTTCGTGAGCTCATCTAAAGTGAGGACTAGTCATGCCTTGTAAAGCATTTTTAAAGGCTGTTAAATATTTCTATGTTCTGTATCACTGTGTTGTGTTTGTTACATTTTACTGTTTAGAAGATTGACGAGTCTTTAAATCGCCTTTATAAATGCTTTACAAAGCATGAATAGTCCTCACTTTAGATTAGCTCACAAAAATAGTTAACTGACCACTACTAAATGCTTTTTAACTACCTGTATTTACTACATTTACTTACACTTTCAAAGTGATCTTATGAATGACTGACAACTCTTAAACAACTGGTTTGCAAATAATGTTATACTTCATTTAGAAATGATTAATTGATCATTAACAAAGTATGAAAATACAATTATTAAACGCATTATAGATATGCTTATAAATCAAGAAAAAAGCATGTATAGCTATATTTATAAACTGCATATTAATGTCTATTAATGTTTTATAAATGATGAATTAACCGTTTACTCATGCTTAACTAATGATTAATAGCGTGCAGTTATTATAAAGTGTTACCCTGTAAGGTAATGCAGAAGGTTTTTAATCTTTTTAGGCTTTCTGAAAATAAACCCAAACTACAGTGTAATAACTCACATATTATATATCCTTCTACTGTAAATTATCATAAGAGATTTCAACAATGTCATAAACTATGCTCAGATCTGTCAAGATACTAAAATCTGCAATCTAAGAAATTCAAGTTTCTTAGATTCTAAGAAATTCAAGTTATCTCTTCTGTTGATTTTTATCATAACACGTAACAACACAACACAACACAACACAACATAATTGAATTAATGGAGAAAATATTTCAGAGTATTTATTTACACAAAGGGCCCATCTTGTGTGGCAAAGATAATTTACACTAACTTACATTCACATTAACAAAAGAAACCAAATAAGTAGCGGGATCAGTGGTGGACACTCAATTAGGATTTTTACATGACCGATTCAAGTTTGAATCTGTCTTTTTCGGCTCCCATTTTTATCTCTTTTCCCATTGCATACCAGCTTGGAAAGGTGTTCATTTTAAGTAATAAAAGTGTAAATAAAGCACAAATGGGTATTTAATTAATAGCAAGAATAAAGTGTTTAAAGAGCCCCTATCATGGATTTTTGAAAATGACTGTTCATATGGTGTGGAATATAGGGGAATGAAAACATCCTGCAAATATTTCTATCTGAAAGTGCACCGTATATAAAGTTATTGTCTTTCAAATGTGAGAGTCGACTCTGAGTCTATGAAATGAATTGGTTTTGAAACGAGTCATTATCTGGTTCGTAGTGACGTAGATACATACTGGCTGCGCTCAGTAAGACGGAAGTGTAAACTTGAAGTCTACACATTCAAATACTTCATCATAGCATCATGTCGAGAAGACGCTGTGTTCTACAATGCAAAGACAGTTCAGCCACTTTGTTTTCATTTACCAGGGACGAGCATGTGAAGAATCGGTGGTTAGAGTTCATATTTGCAATGATACCACAACAGTATAGCCCGATTGTGTTCTCATCATTTTATTGACGAATAACGTTAGTTCAAAAACATAAATTAATTCAAATGTGGATTCGCAAGCGGTTGTTCCTGAAGGAGGGCTCAGTAACTTACTTACCCAGTGTATAAGGATCAGCTTCCTCCTTCGAATCACAACCTGTAAGTATTATTAATAATTGTTGCTTTTATGGGTTTTGAACAGTTTTGTTGCGTCGGGGCGCGAGGCAGTATGTGTGTGCGCGTGTATCTGTGTGTGTGTGTGTGTAAGTTATGCTCAGCGCAGCTTCTAGGTCTCCAATGTCAATTTTTTTTAAATATGTGAAATGTTTGTTGCTGTTATTGGAGTTGTCATAAAGAATAGAGCATCTTGTACTGCAGTGCTTTATCAACATGTTTATGCGTTATGCTAACAAAAAACTGACTGGGTCTGTCATCAGACCAATCACCGCCGATTAGCGTCACGCAAAGGAGTGGTTTGGAAAAATGAGTCGTTGTACGAATCATTGGGAAGTCGGTGAGCAAATCAGTTAAAAATAAACGCATATTATAAGACAAATAAAGTGTTTGTTAAACTGTTTTTGGGAACTCCTAAAACAAAAATAGGAACATCTCATCTGATAGGGGCTCTTTAATGGGCATTTAATAGGCCTATAATTGAAACTGGATGTGATATCCTCGCATCGATCGGACAGGCTGGCAAAATCGGCAGCTCATTTTGTTACAATTCTCAAAAACGTGGCTCCTTTCTGGACTCTTGAGGCACCTTTCCTGATTAGCAGGTTCAATCTGGTTAGGGATAGGTGTAGGGTGGGGCTTTAGAGATAGGGCAAGTAAAGTCCGGGTAAGGCAGCAATAATTTATGATTTTGATAAATATGCACTGAATATATTGTTATTACATACTATTTTATGTACTGTGCAAATGGAGGCAAATGCTTAGTGTAAAGAAAAGTGTACACATAACCCTTGAAATATTGTCTTGTAACAGTATTAGCGCATATAGCCACTTCCAATATATTTTAGTAAATGAATCCCACTCACAGAGCTCCTCCTCCTCCCACCACAGATGGAAACTAATCTCCGGATTGGGAAATGGAACATCGCACAAGGAGCCATGGGACAATAGACCTGAAACCCAAAACCGTCACAATGACACCACAAACAAATCCTGCTTCCTGATCCGGCAAACACGTATGATATCAAAAGGAAAAAATAACAAAATATCTAGGTCTAGATCTTTTTTTAGAGAAGATATTTTAGAAAAAGCTATTTTGAGACAGACGGAATCTGTCAACAGTGTTTATTTGTGTTTGTGAGAGTATAGATAACAATATAGAAAGAGAATAGAATATTTTTGTAGTGCACCTTTGTTGGTGTCACAGAGGATCTGTGAGTATAATGCTTGTAGTTTCTGTTTGATCTGACCCCGTTCACCTCGGTTCACATCTGTGCTCTGTTCTACTGTTGCAAGCACTTCATTGAAGTATGACTCCACGTCCTGGTCCAAGTCCTGACATGAGCACAGACACATAGATAATCAGACACAAAAACGCATAGTCACACAGCATGAAATCACACATGCAGATGCACACACAACATACAGCCATAATTAAGACAGACACATATGGGATGTCCTGTGGATGTCCTGTCCTGTTGCTTTGAGTTTTTTTTAAAACAAACTGCAGACAGCTGACATGTGGACAGAGACAGAGAAATGCTGCCCTGCAATAAATGCTCGCCCTTTGTCTTCATCATTGTATAGTCTAAGGACTAAAATGATTGAGTTTTTCGACTGTTATACAGAAGTTAAATGTAGATACAGGCAATTTACCCTTCATTTAGAAATAATTCATGCTTTCTCTTCAAAGAAACCTTTCAGTAAAGGGTCAATTTGTGTGGTTCACAAACATGCTGAGCTAAAAGTGAAATTATATGTTACACCATGTCCTATAGCAGGGATGGGCAACGTCGGTCCTGAAGGGCCACTGTCCTACAGAGTTTAGCTCCAACCATGAAATAAAATCTAACGTTCTAGTAATCCTGAATACCTGGATAAGCTTGTTCAGGTGTGTTTGTTTAGGGTTTGAAGCTAAAATCTGTAGGACAATGGCCCTTCAGGACTGAAGTTGCCCATCCCTGTCCTATTCGGTTCATTTCTCGTTCACAACAAAAATGTAACATCTGAATTGTGCACTCTTAACTCATATTCTGTCAAGACATGAAAACATTAAAACGTGCAGACAGCAAAGGTTTCACTTCTATTTCTATATCAATACAATCAATATAGAAATTTACAGAGATATATTAAACACCAATGTTAGATAATAGAGCTGGGAAAAAGTTATATTTTGAGTTCTAAAAAATATATATAAATAAATAAATATCATAGCAGATTTACACATTTACTTCTATGTACAGACATATAGATATACACCAAATATTTAACAGTACACTACCATTTAAAACTTTGTGGTCGGTCTGATTCTTTAAATGTTTTATATTCTCGTATGCTCAGCTAGGCTACATTTATTTGATAAAAAAATACAGTAAAAAAAGCAATATTGTGAAAATGTAATTTATTCCTGTGATGTACTGTGATTTTCACTTTACTCATTTTTAATTTTTCACTTTTTCATGAATAGTTTTCACCAACCTTTTGAATGGTAGTGTATTTATAAATATCATGGGGGGAAAACATGGTCGTGTTTCCCCATTAAAGGGTTAGTTCACCCAAAAATGAAAATTAAGTCATTAATTACTCACCCCCATGCTGTACCAACCCTGTAAAACCTTTGTTTGTCTTCGGAACACAAATAAAGATTTTTTGATTAAATTTGAGAGGTGGATCACTGCTACATAGGCTGCCTAAGGGATTGAAACTTATACTTGAGCCACTGTAGTCACATGGAATATTTAAACATTTTCTTCATTGACTTTCTGGGCCGTCAAGTTTCGATCCCTATGTAGGCAGCCTATGTAGCAGTGATCCACCTCTCAAATTTAATCAAAAATATCTCCATTTGTGTTCCGAAGATGAACAAAGTTCTTACGGGGTTGGTGCAGCGTGGGGGTGAGTAAATAATGACTTAATTTTCATTTTTGGGTGAACTAGCCCTTTAACACCACAATCTTTGACACTGTGCTAATCATTCCAATGATGTAATTCATTTAGTCATGAATTTAAAACAAAATTGAAAAACAAACACACCTTAGTTTTTACTAAAGAACATCTATTGTTGACTAGATGAACTATATTAATGTTTGTTCCCCCAGAGATGTTCAGCAAACAGTGAAACGAGTGCCAACCTCAAGCTCATTTACAAAAGAAAGATCAAGAGAAAAAGGGATAGTCATCCCAAAAAATAAAAATCTCATCATTTATGCACACTTATGACATTCCAACCCTCCTCTATGCACTTCTTCATTCTGTGAGACACTGTTTTTTTATGTAAAGAATGTCAGGGGGTCCAACGTTATTTTATAAATCACTGACTTTCATTGTATGGACAAAAACAGTTGAAGCATTCTTCAAAATATCTTCTTGAAAAAAAGTCACACAGGATTTGAATGACGTGAAACTAGTCTGAACAGCAAGATCAATCAGAGATTTGCACAAAATTCAAAACCTTGACCATGTAAGTCCAAAACTTCAGCTTTTCTAAATAAAATGACCAACCTGCAGAGCATCATTGAGAGAGGGTCCGTGACAATCCTCTCCCAGTATCGCCTGAATACTGTGCTGCACTAAACAGCGCATCATGCTCAACGGTGTCCGGACGGATCCTTGAGCCTCAATGTCAGCCTTCAGAACAGTGCTGAGAGACTCGGAAAACACTGCAGGATCGGCGAACACAAACACCCTGAACACAGAATATAGCCATTAAAATCTCACAGACACAATTAGTCGCACAGTGAAAAAAAAAACAACAACATTCTGATTCACTTCTGTTTGGGCTGATGTGAGGTTTTTTTTTGATAACACTTCCTGCTGACTTCAGCAGCCACATCAACCCTGTAGAATGGAAGTGATTTATTACCAGTGCAAAACAGTCAGAAGCTGGGTTAACAAGCTTTAAATATCTGGATGCACAACATATTAAAAACTGCATTACAAATAATGAATCTTCTAGTTTTCACCTTATTCTTATGTAATGTGGGGTTCTTTAGAAAGGGGAACACCTTTGTTTAATGCAAGCAATCAAATTAGTATATTAGTAACAGCCCTGACAACAGTTGTTTCCTTGTTCCTTTCTTGCTTTACACATTTAGATAGCCTTCCCAAAAACTGAGAAATCTGGTAGTTCAACTTTCAACAGTAATTAACAGTAACAGTAATTAGTAAGCACGGAAACTCCACTCAGTTAACTTGAAATGTATTAGTATAAAGAAATTAACATTACCCAATGTTTCATATTAGCGTGTACTATCGCTCATGTTGCATTAATGTTAAAGAAAACATGAAATCAAAATGAACAGTTTGTATTTGCCTATAGAATGCTGCTATAAAAATAAAATCGCTCCAGAAATTTGTGACTAACATGAAGCGTTTGCAGCAAGTATGTGACAATGATTCAACCAACTCCTGTGACAACCAATAAAACTGTGACAAAAAAAGTCACGCCCTACATTTGTTCTCATTGTAGAAACTTGTTTTGTTAAACAATGTGTATGTTTGTGCAACATTTGCCAGTTATTTAAAGATAAGACACACTCTTTTTAAAATATGGTTTAAATAAGTGTTTAATCATTTTTAGGGTCACTATAGGTCAATTAACTATATTAAAGGGTTAGTTCACCCAAAAATGAAAATTAAGTCATTAATTACTCACCCCCATGCTGTTCCAACCCCGTAAGACCTTCGTTCATCTTCGGAACACAAATAAAGATATTTTTGATTGAATCTGAGAGCTGGATCAGTCCTACATAGACTGCCTAAGGGACTGGCTCTTGACGGCCCATAAAGTCATTAAAGAAAAGGTTTAAATATTCCATGTGCCTACAGCGGCTCAATTATAAGTTTATCAAGCGACGAGACTACTTTTTGTGCGAAAAAAACTTCCTTATTTCATTCCTAACTTCCTATTTCATTACTTCCTTATGGGCGCATGCGCGAGAACTGAGACGAGGACGATCTCATTCGTCTACTTCTTGTTACCGGCTGCTCACCGCTTAGGAGTTTTACCGCCACCTACCGTATAAAATGATGATCCATATATAAGGCGCTCCGGATTATAAGGAACACTGTCGTTTTTTGAGAAGATTAAAGGCTTTTAAGTGCACCTTATAGTGCGGAAAATACGCAAATTGAAAAGCGTATGTACAGCGCGCATCTTCCTCTGCTTGTAAACAGAAAGTTTTGCGCTTCCAGCTATATCAGCACATCATCTTATACTGTAGGGGGCGGTAAAACTCCTAAGCGGTGAGCAGCCGGTAACAAGAAGTAGACGAATGAGAACGTCCTCGTCTCAGTTCTCGCGCATGCGCCCATAAGGAAGTAATGGAATAGTGGAATAAAGTCGTTATTTATGTTTTTTTCGCACAAAAAGTAGTCTCGTCGCTTGATAAACTTGTAATTGAGCCGCTGTAGGCACATGGAATATTTAAACCTTTTCTTTAATGACTTTATGGGCCGTCAAGAGCCAGTCCCTTAGGCAGTCTATGTAGGACTGATCCAGCTCTCAGATTCAATCAAAAATATCTTTATTTGTGTTCCGAAGATGAACGAAGGTCTTACGGGGTTGGTACAGCATGGGGGTGAGTAATTAATGACTTAATTTTCATTTTTGGGTGAACTAACCCTTTAACATTGTGATGATGAGCCCTAATGCAAAAGGTTGCGGATAAGGGAAAAGGGACTCACCTCTCCTGCTGAGGATAGTGTTCATTTTTTAGATTTTGTTCTGCAAGAATCCTTTTCTGATACAAAAGGCCTATGAGAAAAGAAACAAAACAAACTCATGCAAGAATGTACTTCAGACTCGTAGGGATCTTGATTGACTGATACATTCGTTTTTTTGACTGCAAGCCAAAATCAAGCTCAAAAATCAAGAGAAGGTAAGAATGTTTGTCATATTTTGTCTGAAGATTTACAAAGTTGACAAACCTGGAGCTAATCGTTCTGCTTTCATTTGCCCAGCATAGCTGAAGCCCACAGTACAGTAGGGCTGAGGCAGAGTCAACAACCTCTTGCAGAAGTCATAAACTCTTTTATAGAGGTCATCAGGAATGTATACTGTCTGCAAAAAAACCAAAAAAAAAACACATGGGTGTCATGCAGGGTGTTAGTTAAGCTTCTTTGTAAACCTTTGTTGAACTGACCACATTTAGACATGAGAATGTTTTGTTTTTGGTACAGAGTTTGTACCATGTGTGCCAATGTCTATAACAGTGCTTCTTAACTGGCTACTCTGTTCTGATGTTTACTAAATGCAAATATAAAATGCAATCAACCATATAATCATCCACAGTTTACGATGGCTTGCATTTTATAAATAACACATATGCTATACACTCACCTAAAGGATTATTAGGAACACCATACTATTCAGCCCATTCTCACCCCCAAGGCGTCACTTAACTGACGCCTTGGGAAGCATTTGGACATGCTTCAATATCTGACGCTTTAGGCGCCCTTTAGCATCAGTTAGATGACGCCCTAGGATCGCGTGTACCCTACCCCCACCCCACACCTAAACCTAACCGCGTCCTCTAACTGACGCTTTCCTTTAGCGTCAGTTAGATGACGCCGTAGGATCGCGTCATGTAAGTGCGCCTAAAACGTCAAATATTGAAGCATGGTCAAAGGTGACGCCTTGGGGTGAGAATGCGTTGTACTATTACTATATGTTTGACCCCCTTTCACCTTCAGAACTGCCTTAATTCTACGTGGCATTGACTCAACAAGGTGCTGTAAGCATCCTTTAGAAATGTTGGCCTATATTGATAGGATAGCATCTTGCAGTTGATGGAGATTTGTGGGATGCACATCCAGGGCACGAAGCTCCCACTCCACCACATCCCAAAGATGCTCTATTGGGTTGAGATCTGGTGACTGTGTGGGCCATTTTAGTACAGTGAACTCATTGTCATGTTCGAGAAACCAATTTGAAATGATTCGAGCTTTGTGACATGGTGCATTATACTGCTGGAAGTAGCCATCAGAGGATGGCTACATGGTGACCATAAAAGGATGGATGTGGTCAGAAACAATGCTCAGGTCATGGCATTTAAACAATGCCCAATTGGCAATAAGTGTGCCAAGAAAACATCCCCCACATCATTACACCACCACCACCAGACTGCACAGTGGTAACAAGGCATGATGGATCCATGTTCTCATTCTGTTACTGACTCTACCATCTGAATGTCTCAACAGAAATCAAGACTCATTAGACCAGGCAACATTTTTCTCCAGTCTTCAACTAGCATCAACAAGGCATTTTCGCCCACAGGACTGCCGCATACTAGATGTTTTTCCCTTTTCACACCATTTTTTTGTAAACCACACAAACTGACCAGATTGTGAAATACTCAGACCGGCCCGTCTGGCACCAACAACCATGCCACGCTCCAAATTGCTTAAATCACCTTTCTTTCCCATTCTGACATTCAGTTTGGAGTTCAGGAGATTGTCTTGACCATGACCACACCCCTAAATGCATTGAAGCAACTGCAATGTGATTGGTTGATTAGATAATTACATTAATGAGAAATTGAACAGGTGTTCCTAATAATCCTTCAAGTGAGTGTATATTGTTGTAGACGTCAACAACTGTGCCTCAAATCAAAAGTTTTTAGTGCTATAATATGGTAAACATTAATACAATTAAAATGTCCAATTCATTGTGTCAAAGTAAAGTTTTTTTTTCAGTTTAGATTCAGTTTATGGTAATAACAACACATTTCCATATTTAAATTTAATGACATCAAATGTTGTACAATAAACAATTTGACTGTGTTGGATCACCACTTGATGTAAAATCTAGACCATATGGAGCAAATCCAGTTGAGAATCATTTGTTTTAAAAAAAATAATGAATGTAAAAGGTTTAAAAGTATAAGACATTTTTTCTTACCTGCATCACAGCATAGATGAGTGTATTAAGTAGAGGAATGAGATGTTTCTTGCAGTCAATTCTTTCAGCCTATGTACAAAAAGGTTTCAGAAAATCATGTTTACCAGTCATTCATCCAGTCACTCACAAAATTCTACAAACCCTCACAGCCAACAGGTCCTTTGTGGGTTTAAATGATGCCAATCATCATTAATTATGAGATAATTAACAAATAATAGTTAACTGCTATTATAATGACTCAACTTTCTTCTTTTTCTTTTTTATTCCAGCAGCAACAGATAATCAGGTGTTTCCAGCAGGTATTTTCAAGTAACCAATGTTCTCATAATAAACAATATAGGGTAATTTATTAAAGTAATAGCATTTATGTTATACTCACTAAACATGCTTAAAATGTTGTGTCAATCCCTAGAATGAAAATTACACTCCAGCATATTAACAAGCATTATGCCATAGAAACTGGTGACTCACTCTTTCCAGTTCCTTGATGGCCACCCTCACCAGAGCCAGACTCCTGACAGAACTGGTTTGCACTTTCTTGTGTAATGTCCATCTCAGCATTCCTGCAGAATGAACAAAAATAAATAATTCAGACCAAGCTAAAATATATATTCGTCAGATTTTATGTATTGATATCGCCATTCGAAACACACGAGTTGTTCCATGACATCAATGTTTAAAATGTAGTGCAACTTGTTGACATTAAATTTATATACGTATATAGGCTTACATAAACAGATGACACTACTGATAAGATTCCATTTCTTTATTAGCCATTTCTTAAGCATTGGGCCAGATTTACTAATAGCTTGCCCCAGCTCAAATCCTTGTTTGGCGTTAAAAACTACTGTCCGGATTTACTAAAGACGCAGTAAAAAAAATAGCACTGAAAAGGAGTGGACAGAGTTATTTTTGTGGCTGACCTTAAAGCATACGCATTTGTAGGAGTCTCCCTTTCAGATGAAAAATTTATGGGAGCATTGGGAGGAGATTATTTAAATGAATCATGCAACGTGATTGGCTGAGGTTAGCGCTTAGATTATTTACCCCCCACCAAAACATAACAAGTGACTATAAAAAAGCAGGAGCAGGATCTTTAATGCAGGATCAGGGCCCGTATCCCTAAAGATTCTGAGAATCCTCTCAGAGATCTCCTTGCCTCCTTGGAGTTTTAGCTTAGAAGTGATTCCAGAACATTTCCAGTGAACTCTGAGCAAGGAATGGATGGAAAATCCTATCTTAGTGAGGAGGTGTGGTTGACCCCGTTGCTAGGTATGAGTCATCATTTCAAAAGCCGTGATTGGTTGATCCTACAAGTTTGATGAAAATTAACTTTTGGTGATAATGAGCAAAGGATGTACCCTCAAATCAATAAACATAATTATACACTCTAATCTTATGCAGACTGTAATTTTAAATAATATTTCACATTCAAGAAAATATCTGGAAAATGAATAATAAGCTGTAGGGGTTATAGCCTAACATTAGAATCTAAAATATGTGAAAACTTAAGCTCATTACACCCTGTTCAAATAATGATTCGTGTCTTATTTGCTCATATTAATATCCTAGCTGGCATATTTTGTACTTTCACTCCCATATGGACCTCATTGAAAACAAGATGGCCTATCTTAATGAAGTAGAAATTGCAACGTTACAAGTCAGTGTGGTCTTAACGAGGGTAACACGGCTCAGCTTTTATCAATGTCTGTGATTGCTGGCTGGTCTATTTATGAAGGCTTGTTAACAAATATCCTACAAACACAGAAAATGGAGAATGGCCATTTTGTGCAGCTGCTTAGGAGAACTCCTAAGCCACTAAAAGTCCTCTTCCCTGCTCTTAGCAGATCTAGCCTTAGGAGCCCTTTTAAGCACTAGGAATCTTGAGGAATAGCTTTTATATTAACTGAGATTTTCGTGTCACTTTCAGGGGAAATTCTAAGAAAACGTCATGACTTTTCTTAGAATTTGGCCGCTAGGAGCCACTTTTTGCACAAAAATTCTTTAGGGATACGGGCCCAGATTTTAGCCAGAACGCATAGATAGAAACAAACAAACTAACCAACAAAAATATTGCTGAGAGGGCTATAACCTTGACAGACTTTGATTGGCTGAAGATAATGTGCGTGTTAAACCCACAAATAGGCCAAATAGTGAGTGTGATCTGTTAAATCCTACCTTTGTTGACAACTGGTTGCTCGGTGTCCATTTCTCTCATAATGGTTAACAGACTACGGTAGATTTCGGATTCGATTGCAGCATATTCAGCTTCTTAAAGAGATCAAATCACATGAGTGTGAGATACACCACTGTTCAAAAGTTTCTTTTTTTTTAAAAAGAAATTACAACTTTTATTCAGCAAGAATGCATTAAATTGATCAAACTGTTTTAAACTGTGATAATAACCATAGATAATAACAATACAAATTTTTTTTTGAGCGTCAAATGAACATTTTAGACTTCTGAAGGATCATGTGACACTGAAGAATGGAGTAATGGCTGCTGCAAATTCAGCTTTACCATCAAAGGAATAAATTACACTTACACAAAATATATTAAAACAGTCGGTAACACCTCCTTTTACAGCACAGTACTTACAGTGTCCTTACCTAGAAAGTACTGGCTAATATAAGTACATGGAACAGGGGTAGGTTTAGGGGTCGGTTCAGGGTTAGTACTAGTTATTACTTATTACCCAGTAATTGTAGTTACTAAAATAATTACATAGTATTTACATGGGTAACTGGACTGTAAAAGGAAGCGTTACCAACAGTCATTTTCAACTGTAATGATATTTCACAATATGACTTGTTTTTACTATATATTATTTTACAAATATATGCAGCCTTGGTGAGCATGAGAGACTTCTTTAAAAAATGTTTTTAAAAAAAATCTTAAAAACAAACATTTGAATAGTAGTGTACATTTAAAATGGATACAAATGGATAATCAAACATGAACATAGACATTTCTCAAAAAGTACCCATTCTTATATTTATGAGTTTCTCTAAAAGGCGTACGTCTCACCTGCCGAGTCCATACTAATACTGCTAGGATTTCTCCAAGATGCCATAATGTAGCTTAGTCCTTACATAATGAGGTAAAAGGAAATCCACTGTGACTGCTGACACAAAGACAAGCACAAATTATACAGAACATTATTGCATAAAATCATAAAATAAGAACACTATACATTGAAAATTTAGAGCATTCAAGCATTCAAAATCATCATTTACTCACTCTCATGTAGTTATATTTCTTTCTTCAGTGGAACACAGAAGAGCATATTTTAAATGCCGCTAGGGTCCATCTACATTGGACCCGACTGACTTTCATTGTATGAACTTTTTTAAACAAGACTATCTTTTTTGTGTGTGTTCCACAGGCATGAGAAATGCTGGTTTGGAATGACATGAGCATGAATAAATGGTTTCCTAAAATAACCCTTTAACGTGCTGGTCATATTAATGTGACTCACTCTTCTATTTTCCACTTCATGATGCTGAGAGTTTTCTCACTTTAATTATTGTTCAGCTTATAAGCACATGGTAACATGTTATTCTGAGCATGATTATTTGAACTCTGTGTTAACAGTGGACTCTTTACTGTAATCGATAGTTAAAGCTGTTGTTTACCAAAAGGCAAACACACACACACACACACACACAATCATGCCTAACAGACTCAGGTGCACTTTTACTCACTACTGATTATTACACAATAAAACTTCCTCTTCATTTCACCCTCTCAGATATGGTTTACAACTGACCAGCAACGGAATGCAACTAACTCCACTTCTGAAACACTATTAAGTCACAACAGAATCTACTTCCAAGAAAAAGAGTGAGGAAATGAAAAAGCAGTGAACTACAGTGAACAGTCTACTCTGTCCAAAAGTCAGAACTGAACTGAACAGAAACAGAACAGAAAAATAAATAACTGGAACTAAACAAAGGGGCCTTTTTCAGTGACCGACACAGCACGTAAAATTATGCAATTTTTTTTCCGATAGCTTGGTTTCTCAGTGCTAAACTCAGTCACATTTCACAGGCTACCTCCGGTAACCTGCAACTTTCTGTTAGGGAAATAAAATGTTGAAGTTTAAGAGAAAAAAAAAAGTTTACTGACTTACCTTTCGTCCGTGTGAGTATATTAATGGACTACATCTGGCACATGTATAAAACACTTGTGCTGGCCAGACAGTCAGAGTGAGAGCAGCACTCTATGTAACACTTCCTCTAACTGCTGCGGCTGTGACTGAGGACAAATGCAACTCTGACTCAAAGCTGAGTGAACGCGAGGGAGGGACAAGAAAGAGAGAGAGAGTTTGACAGAGGCAAGGCAGAGGAAAGTTAACAAGGAAGGTTAGGGGGAGAATGTGTGAAAGAAGTATGCAGAGTGGGTGTGTGGACAAACTGAAGGGAAAGTACTCTGTAATATGAATGATAAAATTAGCAAATATACTCGAACACCTGATTTTGGACAAGTTCAGGCTGAACTTTCTCACATCCAGCCAGACAACGTGATGCATATGCATGTGCGGTCTGCATAAGCCTAGTGCTGCAGAACGGCAAAACCAGCGTGCAAAGATTAAGCCCCTGATCCTGCACATAAAGCCATTGAACAAGTGAAGAGAAACAGGGTCAAGAGCGCTGTATCAGCACAGAAAGCAGCTCGCTGAACCACAGGCTTCCTGTCGCTCACTTGGCCCTCAGTCTCAGAGAGACAGTCTATGACAGGACCTGACACACATCCTGCCCCCATAAATGTGGGGGCGGACAACACACACGGCTGAGATATTTTTAGTAGGCTACCAGCCCAGAGGGAAAAAAAGTTACACTTTTACTTGTACTTTTTCACATTAGGTTCAGTCTTACTTAAGATAAGAACTAAGATAAGAAGGTGAGGGTCAATGACAAATAAAAGGCCAGTAGCAATACTATAATAATGCCCATTACAAAAACATTCTTAAAAGCTGTGTTTAAGTCATTGTATACATGAATTTAAATGTGAACGTATTTGTGGCTAAATTATACTGACAACAATGGGTAACATTTACAATAAGTTTCGTTAGTTAACATGAACTAAGAATGAACAATTCTTCAGCATTTATTAAAGGGATAGTTCAGCCAAAAATGAAAATTCTATCATCGTTTACTCACCCGGAAAGTTGTTCCAAACCTCTATGTGTTTATTTGTTCTGCTGAACACAAAGGAAGATATTTGGAAGAATGTTTTAATCAAACAGATCTCATTCCCCATTGACTACCATAGTAGAAAAAATACATGGTAGTCAATGGGGAATGAGATCTGTTTGATTAAAACATTCTTCCAAATATCTTCCTTTGTGTTCAGCAGAACAAATAAACACATAGAGGTTTGGAACAACATGACGGTGAGTAAACGATGATAGAATTTTCATTTTTGGGTGAACTATCCCTTTAATATTAGTTCATATTAATTGAAACATTTACTAATACATTATTATAATCAGTTAATCAGCTTTATTTTTATTAACAAACAAAGATTAATAAATACTGTAACAAATGTATTGCTTGTTGTTAGTTCATTAGTTAAATACATTAACTAATACGTTAACTAATGAACCTTTTTGTAAAGTGTTACCCAAAAATGAGTGTCATGACAATGGCCCACATTATTCATAGACACAAAACAATGATTCAAATACAGCTAAGGAAAAGCATTAATGCATGCAGACAAATATGTGCAAACAGTAGGCCTAATAAACAGCATGCAAAAACATTTGAAAAAACAACTCTGTGTAGTAACTACGACACACAAGGTGACGATTGCCTGCTAAAAGATAAAAATGAAGATAAACGAAAAAAATGTGGGAGGAAATGCGTGGCTTGATGCGTGTGCGTGCCATGTATGCTAGGTTAGTGAGATGTAGAAAGAATGGATAACAGGTTTATGCAAGACCTTGTTCCTTGTTAGTGTGTGTGTGCAGTAGCCTACCTGTATGTCACTGCCCCCACTCATTCAAGCTTCGCTGCTGCAGACTTTCCAATGACTCAGGAGATGAAATCTGACGTAACCCACAGCCCTGCATCTGCATAGCATCTTTTATAGCAAGTGCCTGTAACGTTTTAATTTTGAAGCATGCATACAGTCCCGTTCAAAGAGTGGGCTCATCTGGGCATGACACTAGAGTTCTAAGTTCTGTAACAGGAACAACAGCCACTTCCTCTGCATGCTATTTTTATCCTACAGACTAAGCAGTGTAGGCTAATGTTAAGCAAAGTAAAAAATATAGTTTACATTTCCTTTCATTATATTTTTAGTGTCTAATATTTTCAATAAAAATGCTTGTGGCATGCTTAAAGATTTTGGCTAAATAATTCAATTATTCAGTCAGTGGCAGGTAAAAAGCTAAAACTTGTGATGAACTTCACCAGGTGACCTTGCGCTGCACTAGTTCGCACTTCCTCTGAGAACTTACTACCTTAGATAACTGATGCACTTGATAAATGTGAAAATGCTTTGATTTTGCATTTTTCTAAATTAATATAATATTGTTTTCTATTGCCAGCAAAAAAAATGCCAGAAATGTGGAACTGAAGGATTAACATGAATATCGGAATGTGTTGCTCTTTACACAGCAGCATGAACTGACAACACCATTTGTGTAAACCTGATGATCATGTTAACCATCATGATTTGACAATGTTCCAAAGACTTGCACGTTTCAATGAAAACAAGGAAATCCGATGTGTCTGTGGAATTTACATGGTCATCGTCACAAATTTGTTTAAACAAGTTTATTTTATTGGAGACCTATAGAAACAGTGCAATATATTTTTAAATACTAAAGCTTACTGTACTTAAAAAACAAACAAACAGTAGGATAGAAAACAGGGACTTCTGTTCCGGTTCTGCGGCTCCACTACAAACGCCTCTCAAAACAGGATATCTCTCTGAAAAACACCTTCAGATGGGAAGACAGCCTGCAGAGCTGTGGAAATCCCCACACTAGGACAGTGGCAGCACACACTTCACCCTCACAGAGAGGAACACCCCCTTCCAGTACGCACACGCCTCAGTGGACAATGATCTTTCTATTAGAACAGAAAGAATTGACTGAACCAATTACCAAAGCTAGCAGGAATCTTCACACACAAATGAATATTTGGTCATCATTTACTCACCCCTTTTGTTGTGGAACACAAAATAATATATCTTGAACAATGTCTCTGTGCTTTTGTTCTCTATGGAACACAAATTAAGTAAATAAAAGGAGGTACCATTTTACAACAAGATCCCATGTTAGTTTTAATAATGTTTAAAATGTTTTAATAATGTTGATGTTTAAATTAATACTAACTAAAAAGAATACATCTTTTAGTATTTATTAGAATATTTTCATTGTTAGTTTATGTTACAGTACCTAATGTAGATAACTTGTTATATGTATAGGTTTGGAATGACATGAGGGTGAACAAATAATTTAGTAAACATATCGAATGTCATACAAAGCCATATATTATATTAAAATGAACTGGCCCTTACAAAGCTGTTTTACAGTTATGGAGTACTAATTACTCAGATTTCCTGTATTCACATGCTAGACAATATAAGGAAGTGATCAGTGCCTACCACCAACATCAGCGGCCTACTTCTCTGGGCTTGGGAAATGAGTTTGTGTAGGGGAAGGGTAAACTAATCTTGGCCAAATGCAATGGAGACAAAGGCAACTATGCACTGACATGAACATTTAGCAAACCTGCCAAAAGACTATGCGAGTCTGTCGAGGGAAGTGTGAAGTGGGTCAGTCACCCAATATTAAAGTCACCTATTGTCTGAAATCATATAGTAGAGAACACAGGGACATGGAAGTTGCTGTTACAAAATGACCTTATAATTTTTTTTTTTTTTATTCTTGTCTGGCAAGAATGTCTATCACCATGTCCATTGTTTAGACTAATCCTCTCAACCAAAACCTTAAAGACATTGTAAAAATCGCTCAACATGATGTTTTATTAACAAATTTCAGGAGGAACACGCTCAAATGATTCATCCAATCAGCACGAGAGAAGGACTATATATAGCCGACTCGCCTATGTTCCTTAACAGTTTTCAGCATCACTCACCCACGGCCCCACCCATACTCCTAACTATTGTCTGGTTCCAAATCCCTGCAAGGAATAAGTCAGGAGTGTTCAGGGTCTGGGCCAAATTCTGCACTCGGAGCCCTGCCCTCGCACAGCACACCAAATACTCATAATACTTTTACTCTGATTATTTGTAAGTGAACTTGTGAAATACTTGATTGCCTTCCCTTTTCCATATTTTATGTGGTCTTTGCATTGTTCATTTGAAGAAATAAAAGCCTGGAGAAACATTTCTGCATGAAATGCACCCATTTAGCTTGAATTTAAGCTAATTTTGGTAGAGATCACATAACTGAGGCAACATTGAAAACTCACTGTGGATGAATAGCAGCTTGTATTAGAAAGGATAATATGACTCACAGTTGCCTGATTATTACAGTATCAGTAAACTGGACAGTTTATGCAGTTAAGCATACAGGGTTTGCACAATAATCTGCATTTTAACAAATAATTAGGCACTAAAAGTACTCGACTATACTGAGATATTCCATGATGTATCATGTGTAAGATGTGTAAGTTTAACGAAGACTCTATTTCTATATATAGTATTAGTAAACATGCTCAAAGAGAAGTTGGTTTCTTCTAGCAAAAATATTTCTTTGGGCAGACTGAAACTTTGACATTTACATACAGTGAAACAACGAACAGCGAAAAACCACAGGCAGGCAGCTGGAATGAAGTAGGTCAATAAATCACAAAACCAAAAGGCTTAACTTTCAGTCTTCCTCCACTAATTCAGTTCTATAGCATCTTAAAGAGCACCTATCATGGATTTTTGAAAATGACTGTTCATGTAGTGTGGAATATAACGCTAAGCGAATGAAAATATCCTGCAAAGATTTATACCTGAAAGTGCACCATATATTATTAAGTTATTGTCTTTCAAAAGTGAGAGTCGACTCTGAGTCTATGAAATGAATTGTTTTTGAAATGAGTCATTAGCTGTTTCGTCGTGACGTAGATACAAAACATTAGCTCATTGGCCGCTCCCAACAACTGAGTGCGCAGACGGAAGTGTAAACTTGAAGTCTAGAACTCATTCAAATACTTCAGCTGAATAGCATCATCTCGAGAAGATGCTGTGTTCTACATCGCAAAGACAGTTCAGCCACTTGTTTTCATTGCCCAGGGATGAGCATGTGAAGAATCAGTGGTTAGAGTTCACATTTGCAACGATACCACCACAACAGTATAGCCTGAACCTTGTGTTCTCATCATTTTAATGGCGAATCATTCAAAAAACATACATTCAAATGTGGATTTGCAAGCCGGTTGTTCCCTAAGGAGGGCTCAGTATCCAGTGTGTATTGATCAGGTTCGTCCTCCTCCGAATCACAATCTGTAGGTATTATTAATAATGTTTGCTGTTATGTTTTCTGTAGCATGCACACAATATAGTTATATTGTGTTGTGTACACTCCGCACAGCTTCTAAGCGGGGTAAAGTTAGTTTTGTTTTTGATATTCCCCAGACATTCACTGAAAAATGGCAATTACCTCCTAAACGCCAAATATGACTTCGCCCTATATAATAAGCACTGCCCCTCAAAAGCCGCCGCAATGTGAGTTTCGCCGGGAAAGCTCGCTCTTGACGGACACGCGAGTAAGGGACCGTGTGGAAAATGCACTTTTTCTGACAAGTTTCGTATGTTCATACATTGTATACAATTTTCAACACTTTACAAGCTATAATCCATGAATGGTGATGGGCGTTCCGTTTCCGACAATCTCTGCCTACGGTTTACAAATAACAACTGACTGGGTCATTTGACCAATCGCCGCAGATTCGCATCACTCAAAGGAGGTGTTTGGTCGAACGAATCGTTTGGCATCGTCGAACGAATCATTTGGCAGTCGTTGAGCAAATCAGGTAAAAATAAATGCGTAATATAAGACAAAAAAAAGTGATTTTTATTCTTGCATGCACAAAGTTAAATGTAAACCTGTAAAGTTGTGTGGCTCCATTTTCATTTGATTATCATTGATTGTACACTTGGCAGCTTAACACTGTGTTACAACCAACCCTGCTGTGTATTACATATTTTAAACCTAGTTAACAGTCGCTAGGAATTGCTGACATGTTTCAAAAAACGGTGCTATGTTTGAGCCAACAAGACAGTGAATATAAAGTTAGATATGGAAGCGTACATCCAACCCAGAAACCGGAAAAAAATCTATGACGAAAAAATTTACTTTCATGGTGTCAAAACACTCTTTGTCCAGTATCTCCACGAAATATAATCAAAAACTTTCCGCAAATTCGCGGGAGACCGTCTTCTGGCAGCAAGAGAAAAAGAGCGGAAAGACGGCGGCCTTGATCCTGACGAACCATTACCACGTCTTTAATCAAAATCTGAAAAGTTACTTCCGGTCTAGAATGGTGTCTTTTTCTGATGACGTAGGTTTGACGCATTGGGTTGGGAAACGCTTAACCACTCCCCTCAAACCGTTAGTGCTAGAGTAAAACCCTGCCTTCTGTTCAATATTCCGTTTCACTTGGAAATACGAATACGTCACAGAAATTTTGTTTGCAACTTCTGGTTCACGGGGACTTTAAACTATGATCACGGTTAAAAATAAACTGTAATTTTTATGGTAAAAAAACGTTATTGGTTTTAAAGACTTAACTTAAAAACTTATGAATTAAAAAAATGCAATAAACATTCATTTAACAACATTAAATGTCACATAAAACCCTAATGTGCATAATTGATTAGAAAAAAACAACTAAAAAAACAATAAAGAAACAGTTATTTCAACAAAAATACATCAAATGTGAACTGTAACGCAGGGAATTGTGGAAATGTCAATTTACGTTTTTTCACTGTAAATTATACAATGAGTCGTTAAATTTAACGGTATTTTTTCAGTAAAATTACATGATGTAGCCTACAAGATCATTTACGTATACTGCTGCCCTACGAAGCAAAAAGGCAGTAACTGTTTTTGGTCAAAAATGAGTTATTATCATTTAATGACATTCAAGGCAT